ATTAGAACCAAAGCTGAAATCAGTGACGATGATCTTAGACTGGTGGCCATTGAGTCTGAGCTTTCCACCGTGTCTCGGGATATTCAGAGCTCCGACAGAGGTGTTAACCTTCAGATGGAATGCCTCATTGGTGGAAATCGAGGTGTTGAGATGGAATGTCGCATAGAAACCAGCATTTGTCTCCGGATTTCGCAATTCATAAGCTCGAACCGCAGCATTGTCCGTATATTGTGTACCATTTCCAATGAGATCAGTCATGGTAAGATCCTTCGCGCTACGCGTGAAGAGCGCCAGGAGCTTTGTTTCGTAGTACTTCGACCCGATCGATCGATCCTCTGAGATAGGTGCCGAGTAATCATAACTAGTCGCAGTCACCGGCGCAGCGATGGATCCCCAGTTCGTTCCTCCAAACAACATGTACAAGCTCATGGCTGTGACTCGCTGTCCGATATTCCAACGGTAGAATAAATTGGCAAAGTCTGCGTCCGAGTTCTCGGCGCAACCACCTTCTGGTCCACCCCAGGGGTTATAAGAACCACCCTGGAACTCGGGCATGAAGCCTGGCATCGAGGGTTGTGATTCCTGGAAGTAATCGTAGTAATCCATTACGGAGAATGCGATGTATTCACCGTTTGTGGCGGTACATTGGCTGAGGTCGCAGGTCCAGCACTAGTATAACATGGATTAGTCTCCTCTGTACTTGTATTTATAAGCCTCAGTGCATGACGTTAGAATCCCTACCGATGGATAAGAATCAACACCAGCGACGTCGACATTTCCGCCTTCGTCCGACCAATCGCTTCCCCAAGAATGCGAATTCATGTTCGGATCGTTCGACGTGAGCGGAATGACAATTCCATTGGCTCGCGCATTCGCCTCGAGAAGTTCCATGTAGTGGATGGCAGTTTCATTGGCAATCTTGTCCGTCGCACTGCCCTCCCACTGGTTTCCGTACTCATTTTCAATCTGATAGACGATAGAGTTCTCGCCATCAGTCACCTGATATTTACTGGTAATCTCGGACATTTTGGTGAAGTACGGCGTCCACGCCTTTGTGTATCGCGTATCATTATTGCGCAGAGTTCCATATTCACCCGTCGTGAGCCAAAGTGGGAAACCACCGGCGTTGGCTTCGGCGTTGACATATGGACCAGGACGTACAATGATGTATAGTCCCAGCTCTTTTGCAAGCTCGAAAAGAGGAACGATGTTGTGAGCGCCGGTTTCGAAGTCAAGTGTGTGGTTGTTCGGCGCGTGGTAGGCCCAGCTGGAATAGAATGCGAAAGCTGTGAAGCCCGCTGCTTTAATTTTCTCGAGAATGTCGCGCCACAAGTCTGGGACCGGGATACGCCAGTAATGGAATTCTCCCGAGAAAACGAAGATGCGTTGGCTATTGACTTGGAAGCTGTAGTGGTCCCATTGAACTACTTTGTTCAGCCCATCGTCCTGGAGCGGCCATTGGGTCGACTCGGAGACTGATGATTCGCCGGCAGCAGAAAGGCATAGAAACAAAGAGATCCATAATCCGTACAGCATGCGCGTAAGTCTCGCCATGTTGAAGTAACTCGGGCAGCGGCCGAGTACTGGAATTGTCAGGCGACCTTGATGGTATGCGGTCAATCCTGCATGCGAACCACTTTATACTAGTACTAGTAACCCCCAACAATGGCTGCATTTCACCAATTCCCGGTGGGGTGATGCTAGTCACGATGCCGAGGATTCCTGCAGAATTAATTAGCAAAGCCTTAAGCGAAGCACCAATGTAATTAGTTGGTACTTTAGCTCTCCCCGCATCGTCGACCCGCGGCGTTAATTTTCCTCCACTAAGAAGTCTCGGTGGAAATGACCTCGGGAATTGGATGCACTAGTATGGAGATGGTGCATTCGCCGTACGATCGTTGGGGAGAAGAAGTCCGAGTCCGAGTTCGAGAAGAAGAAGCTGGAAGAAGAGGAAGAACAGTCATAATGATAATGATAATAATAATGATTCGCTTTTTGAATTCCAATGATAATATACATCCAGTCGTATCGCTGATCTAAACGCAAAAGAAAAATAAAAAAGCCATGCATCAACTATATGCAAAGGGCAGATCTCCGAGCAGTACGGAGTATACCCGAAGAATTCCCCTCGGTCTCTAGATCGAGCTCGGTCCTGTCGGGAAGAGGCTCTTCCTTGTCGGAATGGCTCTCTTTCCGGTGGTCGACGTTCAGTCACCTGAACTGCATTGAACATTATAGGGTCAATGACCGGCCGAGAAAGTAGTGGAGGTTTGCTCGAGCAGATGAATATGCGGCAGCAAAACTCTTATCGCTTAAGAACGAATGAGAATATAGCTCCAAGCCCCTAAACTCCGACTTTTCTATGCGAGAAATTGGTTTTCACCGAGGCTGATGCTCCCGGCGAGATAATATATGAAAGATCGGGCAAATCAAGCGCCACGATCCAGAACACCGAACGGGTTCTGCCCCTTTGTTTCGGGTACATTGGAGCTGGCCTGCTCCGTCTTGGCCTGCTTCTTGGCACCCTTCTTCGCTGGCACGGTAGAGAAGCCCTCGTCAGATGTAGACTGGCTGGTTGTGGCAGAGGCAGCAGCCTTAGCCTTGTTGGCGGCAGAGGCGCGAGTGCGGACGGGGGAGTCCTGGGCGACAGAGATCACCTCGCTGATCTTCTGTACCTGGGCCTTGACAAATTCGTCATCGGTTGTAACTTCGCTGTTCTCGCCCTCAATGGCAGCGCGCTTAATCTCACGGCTGAGACTCTTGAGAGCGTCCATGCCGGCCTTCTCAGCAGCCTCCATGTGAGTGGGCTGCTTAGAGGGCTTGCGGTTGAGGTAGGATCGCACGAAGAAGCGAGCAAAGAGGTAGGTCAGAGGCAGAAGGTAGGAAACGTTGAGCCAAATAGCAAATGCCTGGCCGGTGGTGTCCATGCAAGTGACCATCTGCTGAGTGTATCCTGTCAGGGGAGCAGGAACAGCACCACCGACATTCTCGGCAATTCCCTCTGCACCAGCGGCGCGGAAAGCCAGCTTCTTGAGGTAAGGAAGAACGCCAGCCTCAACGGCAGTAGCAGCGGCAGCGGGAGCAGCCTTGGACAAGTGACTCAGAGCAGCACTGCCAGCCGGGTAGGGGATAGTGTAGTGAACGAAGAGGTAGGCGGCGGCCATGTTGGTACCGAGGACAAACTGGGTGATCTGCATAGTGGTCAAGCTACGCTTGATGACACCAGGGACGCGGATGCGCAGAGCAGTGAAGGTGTAATAGGTGTACATCATGGCGTGGATAGCCGAGTTGACGAGAGCGAAGATCCAGATAGGCGCGGCCATGTAGCGGATACCGGCCCACATGCACATCATGGCACCCGCGTGGTGGTAGGTTTGCAGAGTGGAGCTCTTCTTGCCCTTAGCCAGAATAATAGCGGTATCAATCACCTCGTAGAACTTGGACAGGTAGAAGATCCAGCCAAGGTAGGCCAGACCTCCGTTCCAGAGACGACCAACATCCGAGGGATCGGGCTGACCACCGGCCAACTGATAGGCCGGGTTGGGGATGGACCACTGGTCGGTGATGGGGCTGTAAGTGGCGGCATTTCCGTAGCCACGAGGGCCATTGATCTTGCAGAGAGAATCGACGACGCCCGCGAGGCCATTGGGTTGGTCGCGATCCGCCCAAGAGTGACCGAAGGCCTGGAACATGCCGGCGAAAGTCCAGGCGGAGTAGATGGCGAGGAAGACATTGTGTAGGATGACGAAGAGCTTGAACAGGGGAGTATTGCTGAAGCCCCAAGGTTTATAGCCGCGACGCTTGTTGATGCGATTGATCACGACCACGGTGATCGCATAGACGGAGGCGATAGTGATGGGGACGCGCACGTCGAGAAGCTGGGTATAGAGATCATTGGGGATGTTGAAGGGCTGTTTCCAAGTAAACTCGGAAACATGAGGCGCAGGAATGGTCTCTGGCAGTTCGGTAGGAGGGAACTTGAGGAGGGAGGCCGGAGGCAAGGCGATGCGAACGGTGGCCTGGCCGAACTGAGTGGGCAAGTTGAGGTCGTACATAGTGTGCGCCAGACCGAGGGCAGCAGTGGATAGCAGCAGTGGGATAGAAGAATTGGATCAAAGAATAGCAGGGAAATAATAGAGACAAGACAACTTGAAAGACAAAGACTTGGATAGTAAAAAAAAAAAGAATGCTGGGGAGGGATCCACTCGCGATAAAAAGGTAAAAAGGTGAAAAGGTGAAAAGGTGAGGTTATCAAAAGTGGAGCCTGCGTTTGTTGGGATTTTGCCAGCCGAGGTAGTCAGTGGTCTGTACTGTACTCAGCTACGCTGAGTACTAGACCTGGTATATTATAGTATACTAGGATAGAATATACAGTATGCATATATAGTATCATGATGTTATGTTATTTACTATTAACTATTACTATATTATACTCCATTCTACTATCTTGTTCTATACTGTTTCGTGTTGGTCTCGTGACTCGATTGTATTCCAATGTTTGTATGAATCTGCTTACTCATCCACTTACTCATCCACCCACCAATCCGGGGTTACACTGCAATACACTCTCAATGCACTCACTGCATGAACAACAACGCGCACGAGCAAGGCGCACGAGCAAGGCGCACTTCCAATCCCTCAAATTTCAGATGATCGACTCTTGTTGGGACCAATCACGCGCATCTCCCGCTATCACCTCAATCCCAACAGCTTCCAAGCATTCGTCATACTAGTCGATCGCATCACTCCGAGTCTTCTCACATGCGGCCGAGGCCATGCCGAGATCCTAAGGAGAATATGTGGCAGACTGACTGTGGGTGGTACTGAGTAGCTAGTATTGCAAACTAGTATCGTATAAGTGATAGCTATTGTATTCTAGTACTATACCAACTCCACCCAATTCAACTCAGTCAACTCCAATTCTATTTGTAATACCCTTGAAAACTATATAGCCCACATTTCATGGACGTAAAATTGTGGAGGTAATGTACACACCCCACTCAACTCCCGCTCAGCGGGGCTTGGTGTTCAGTGGTACTGGTGGCGGTGTCGATGCCGCCGACGAGCCTGGCGAATCGCTGGCCGGTGCCCGCATATCCGCTCTCTTCGGCGGCGGGGGAGGGGCGCCTTCTTACGGGCTTGAGCCTCAATCGTAGCGCCGGTTCCTGCCGGGCCGGGGAATTGGAAGCTGGGACTGGGACTGGAGCAACGGGCGAGCTGGTTGCGGGAGAACTGGGACCGGGTGGACGCGGCATCCGCTTGTTCGCCGCGGCGTTGAACTTGTGGTCCTCGACCATCGTGTTGAAACGAGAGGTCACTCCACCTAATTTCTGCTTGCCAAAGTCGATCTTGTCTGCATGTCGCTCCCGCAATCCCTGAGCAGGGGGTAACGCATCCTCCGCATCCCGAGGAGGAAGACCAGAGCCGTGGGATGGAGAAGCTGGTGTAGCAGACGGAGATCGGTAGTCGTCGACATACCTTTTCGCTCCCGAAGCTGCGCCGCTGAGTTTCTGTTTGCCCAGGTCGATTTTATCTTGATGCTTGTCCTTGAATGCTTGAGCTTGTTGAAGTTTGCTCTGTGGGGGTGGTAACGACTCCTGTGTGTCTCGAGGAAGACCAGAGGTATGGGATGGAGAAGCAGGTGTAGGAGGTGTAGCAGGTGCAGCAGACGGAGATCGGTAGTCGTCGACAAACCTTTTCGCTCCCGAAGCCGCGCCGCTAAGTTTCTGCTTGCCCATGTCGATTTTATCTTGATGCTTGTCCTTGAATGCTTGAGCTTGTTGAAGTTTGCTCTGTGGGGGTGGTAACGACTCCTGTGTGTCTCGAGGAAGACCAGAGGCATGAGAAGGAGAACCCGGTGCAGCAGAGGGAGACCGGTAGTCATCGACAAACCTTTTCGCCCCTGAAGCTGCGCCGCTGAGTTTATGTTTGCCCATGTCGATCTTATCTTGATGCTTGTCTTTGAATGCTTGAGCTGATTGAAGTGTGGAAGATCGGGCCGGGGAGGAGGAGGTACAGCTCGTGAGGCTGGTCCGGTTTGCATATTCGAGAAGCGGGATTGTAATTCATTGACGGGTGCATCGCCGGCCGTGGTCTGCGCCTGCGATTGACCGTTCGCCTCGCCAATCCCCAAGGCGGGGACTGACACGCCAGCGTTGGCGAGGCGTGATGTAGCCTCCTGGTTGATATATCCGTCAGACTGTTGAGGCGCCACTGGGGTATAGGCAGGCGGCGGGACATCGTCCTGCGATTGGGATGGAAGGTTCCGGGGCGGAACCCGAGGAGGGAGGGAAGGCTTGGGCTTCGATGCCGCCGCGGTGTTGGTGGATGAGCCGGAGCTCGGCGATTCAAGACGTCGAACCGGCGGAGGGGGCAGATTCTCTGTTGACAGCCCTGTGGTATTCACCCGATATGGGACCGGAGGTGGTTTCGGTTTCTCCGCTTCTTCCTGTTCCGCTGCGAGAGCCTGTTCTTGGTGTGCATTCTGCTGGTCCACTTGATTCTGAGTGAGCGGGGCCCCGATACCACTCCTATCTGGAGTCGTTTGGTTGGGTACAGCGGCCGCTCCATGGTAATTGATGTGTGTAGGAGGAGGAGCAAACGAGCCAGGGTCCTTCAGAGACGATAATGGGCGGGAGACATGTTCGGACTTTTCAGATTCATTGGGGTCCTTTCCTTTCCCCATCCATCCAGCCTGTCAAATCAAATACATGCAAGTTAGCGTCAGAAGCCAAGGCTAGGCCCCCAAATTTGGGGAGAGGAGAGGAGAGGAGGAACCCACCACTTGGTTGATGCCCTTGAAATCATTGCGCCAGCTCTCCTTTCTGCCACCTTTTCCTTCGGGGTGCCAGCCCCCTTTCATAACATTGCTGAAACCACTCATGATGACTTGTGCGCTGACAAGGGAATGTGTGTTCAGGGGAGAGTTGAGTTCCACCCGTCCAATTCCAATCTTGCAGTGACGACACCGCCCCCCTCTTGCCCCGCTTTCTCCACATCACGTGGGTTACCAAAGAGGAAGTGTGTTTATGCCTGATATTGAAGGCATTCAACGAGCTGATGACCAATTAATTAGACTTTTGATAGAGCTCGCTAGTAACCACACTGTAGTTTAATACAGTACTACAATCACCCTGTCCGCTGCATGCTATCTTCGTGGAACTAGGTGCTTGAGCCCTACAAGAAAATACATCCCACCGCGACATGGGTAAGAGTAGGTACTGCAAACTACTAGTACTACTACTAGTTAACTAGTAGAATGGCGACTTGGACGGAAGACTTGAGTGAAATAATACAATAAGACGTTCAAGTTGTTGATATACAATAAATCATAGCAGCAATATACAAGTGCTTAACGGCTATACTTAGGCACAAACTCTGCCAATGCCTTTTATCAACCATGCTCTGCAGGTACTTGATGCAGTAAGACCTGCACCAACGGGTGAATATGCTCCACATTTATTAACCCTTGCCCAATCAGACTCAGTTTCTCCTCAAATCGTTGAGGAGGTGCATACTTTAGCGTCGGCTCCGAGGCTTTGCGGCACCGCGGTTCCAATTTTGAAACTGTAAAGATCCAATGGTGAGATTCTGGGCCCATAGTGAGACATGTGAAAATTTTTTTTCACGAATCTCAAAATGAAGACCATTTTCCGAGTTGTGATCTCGGTGGAACCGAGTTTCCCCGCATTTCGGCAGGTTTGCGGAGCAGCCATTCATTCGCAGGAGTCATATAAAGGAAAGCTGAAAGCTTTGAGATGACTAGGGTGAAAACTACCATTCGCTCGGCCCTTTCCTGGCATTCTTCGCAGATATACCCCCTGGTCATCCAACATCATGGGTCGCAATCCGCTCACCAATCCCCTGCACTATGCAACCCCGCAGCTGCGAACAGGTCCCCCTGTCACATATGCGACTGCTGGACGGAGTCTTGTGAGCTACGACTATGGTATGTCACAGATGGTCTTCATTCATTTAACCCTAACTAATCTGTTTTTCGATTGAAAAGTAATTATTGGGGCCGGTGCGGCAGGCTGTGTCCTTGCCAGCAAACTTTCCGAAGACAAAAATGTGTCAGTGCTGGTCCTCGAGGCCGGTGGAGACAACACTAAGGTCTTTGAAACGAAAGTGCCCATCCTATTCTCAAAGCTATTTCACACAGAGCATGATTGGGACTACTACACGGTTGAACAACCGGAGCTCGCCAACCGGCAGTTGTATTGGCCGCGGGGAAAGATCCTCGGAGGTTCGAGCTCGCTCAACGCGATGATGTACCACCACTGCTCTAAATCCGATTTCGATGAGTGGGCCTCGGTTCATGGCTGTGACGGCTGGAGCTACGACAAACTGTCTCCCTACCTCCGAGACATGGAGCGGTTTACCCGAAACCCTAACCGCCCGGCCATCGACTCTCAGCATCGTGGCACCTCTGGGAAATGGCAGACGGGTTATTCATGGCTATCGGAAATTGTCGAAAAGGGCTTTATACCCGGCTGTCTAGATGCTAAGATCCCGGCCATCGCGGACGTCAATACCCACCAGGGCACTCTAGGTGTAACAAGGTTCCAGACCTTTGTCGATCCCAAGGGACAACGTTCATCGCTAGCCACTGCTTTCTTGACCCCGGAGGTGTTGGCCCGACCAAATCTATATGTCGCATGCAAGGCCCGGGTTACTCGTATATTATTCGATACGATCACCAGTAAGAATCCAACGGCGATTGGCGTGGAATTCCAAACTTCTCAGGGTGGTGAGCGCTTCCAAGTTCACGCGCGAAACGAAGTTATACTTTCCGGAGGAGCGGTTAATACACCGCAAATCTTGCTACTTAGTGGTATTGGTCCGGCGGATGAGCTCAAGTCTCATGGAATTCCTGTCATTCAAGAGAATAATGCGGTGGGTCGCAACCTGAAGGATCATCTCTGCACGACACCTATAATTGCTAAGGCAAAGAGCGGCACTACGCTGGACTACCTTGGAAATGATATCAAGGCCATCCCAGCACTTGCACGATGGCTTCTTACGGGCGGTGGCCCATTATCAAGTAATGTTGGCGAGGCGGCGGCATTTATCAAGTCGACGGATCATTACTTCTCTCAAACAAAGAACACTCCTAAATCTTTTACCTCTGGGGACAATGCCCCGGACATTGAGCTCATCGGTGCTCCGCTGGCATTTATTCATCATGGCGAGGAGAAGCCTGTGGATGGAAGTGATGTTTTCTCTATTGTTCCGATTGGTCTTCGCCCGCAAAGCCACGGCACAGTCACCTTGAAGAGCAGAGATGCATTTGATGCACGTAAGTTGACTATACTATCTTGCTTCTTCCAAGTTACTCGAATATTGTCTCTGGGCTAACCACAATAACTGGATCTAGCGATCATCGACCCGAAATATCTGAGCGACGAGGGTAGCAATGACCGAAATGTTCTCCTAGTCGGACTTCGCGTATGCCTCCAAATTATCCAGAGCCCAGCTTTCAAAAAGTACTTTGAGCCCGTTCCGGTAAATGACGATCCGACCTCGTACTGGTGGCCCTACTCAAGCAGCAATATCGATAATATCACCGACGAGCAGCTCCTGCAATTTATGGATGAGAAGGCCTTCACTTTGTACCATCCCGTCGGTTCGGCGCGTATGGGACCCTCGCCCGCTTCGAGCGTTGTGGACCTCGAAGGCAAGGTTCATGGTGTTAATGGACTTCGCGTTATGGATGCCAGTGTGTTCCCAGAACAGATTAGTGGACATCCCACCGCGCCTATTGCAGCCATGGCTGCCAGGCTCAGTGCTATGATCAAGAATGGCAGTACCCCCCCCACAAACCTTTCGTTGCAAATCTGTGAGGGAAAGCAGCTACACACAGGGACATGGAACATTCATAAAGGAAGCCCTCCGCAGAGTATCTATTTCCTGAAAATGCGGCTTCTTCAGATTCGATGTTTATTCACTCTCTGGCGACTCCTTCCGAGTCTTTGGCATGTCTGACGAACCTGGAATGAAGCATCAAGATAACACAGTTTGTATATAACATCATTTAACTGAGCCACAATCCACGATATCTTCAAAGCAACTTGAATAGAGCTCCAGGACTCCAACATGACAGTCAGCAACTAACTAACTATAATTTGCGCGAACATAGTACCACCTGGGCAGTTGTCGTGTTGGAAATGCCCAGGCGCAGAATAGAAAAAAGTAAGATCGAGCTTTGAAATACGAGAAGCTTGGCTGTAATTATTTATCACCCCGGCTCGGTCATTCTCAGTAGAGGCCAATAGGCCATCAACGCTCCACTGAGAAATTCCCTCCTCGTGTTTCAGGTGGGGATGGAGGGTCTCGCGAGGGCGCTATTTGTCTGACATTCCATTGATCTTCCGGAAACAGCCTGTAAGAACGGCGTACGGATGTCCATCAGTTTCCCCCCCTGCCGCCTGAGCAACAATGGGAGCCTCACTTTGCGTGGGGCTAAACGCAATGTAGTTAGAGTTGACGCCGATCTGCATGTTCGGCCCCCAAAGGATTCGTGGCTCAGGGAGAATTAATTATAGAATAGCGTCAGCTTCACCAACACGACGTGTTTCTTTCTTGCCTTTAAAGGGCTATGATGAAGCTGGTCTTTGTTGTAGAGCCCATATCTTGTAAGCGCATATTGCGTTAATTTGTAGATGCTATCCATCGTACACTTCAAGTTGATGCCCATAATTAATGCAGATCAGGATTTTATGGCACCCGTAGCCTTTTCCTCACGCCCATCTCGTATGAGTAGTTCGAACTCTTGCCAACCGCCTCGAGGCAGTGCTTAGCAGCAAACCCCACTTAGGATGATCCGCCCAACGGCCGTATTTCATGCCTCCAGCTGTCTGATCCCAGTCATATGAACAGCTGCATCTTCCCGTCCCACATTTTGATACTTTTCAATTTCTTCCAACCACATATGAGCACATCCTGGAACATACAGTCTACGCCGAGGATTTTGAGAGCGAACAAAGCGCATGCGATAAATCCTGCTCATTCGAACTACGTCTCGGCCCCATCATCCTTTGTACCCCTCGTCTTTGTCCCTCGAACAACTTTTCTCAAAACCAATCCGCCCCCAGGTCCCCGCTTCTTCTTCTTAATAGACCATCATGGATGCCATGGAGAATATCATCCACATAGTCGAACGAGGTGAGGCTGCTCTAGCTGGCATGGTTCGACTGGGGCGTAATCCTAACCCCGGTATAGAATTCGAGTCCACACAGGCGGTTGGCCAACTTGAAGGACCTTCGAAAACAACCAAAGAGATTACATCAAAAACAGATAGCCCAGCAGATGGCTCAGGTTCGGAGGCGAGTCAGCAGGCGACAAATTTGGAATCAGCATTATCAGAATCATCAAGTGAGCCTCAATACATACCATACACACGACTCGAAATATCAAGCAGTGACGACGACACTTTTAATGCAACACACCCGCTCACAACTTATCCAGCGTCGGAACCCGGGATATCCACGCCTCCAGTAGTAGCATTGCCTTCATCAACCACAACAACAGCCTTAACGTCGACCTCATCATCGTCAACAACAACAACAACAACATCATCATCAACAACATCATCATCTTCAATAACAACTACTACTCAGAGTGAGCCCACAGAAGTACCAACCGATACCACAGACACAGGCGCTTCAAACAGTCTAAGTTCCACAAACACAAAGCTAGCCATCGCCCTACCAATAGCCATAGTCGGCCTCCTCATCATCGCAGCGTTAACATTCTTCTTCCTAAGACGTCGCCGACGTCGCAACGCCCAACCAGAATACGACATTGCAATCGGCCAAACAAGAGCCCTCTCGACGGCAGAGTTGATGGCTCTTCAAAAATTCGAGGGATCAGACCCAGCGGCTTCTAGTATGCACCATCTACCAGTCATCCAAGTACATCAATATCAAGATCGTGCGCGGAGTCCTGCCTCTGCGACGGCGAGGACTGTGGTTGATAATTCGCACACGGAACTTGGACTCGCTGTTGCTGTCCCCTTGGATCAGAGACGTAGTGCGTCGGAACATGACTTGCCTCGATTCAGTGGGTCTGCTTCTAGGACATCGACGCCTAGAATGCCGTTCGAGAGTCGGGGTGGTGGTTCTAATGATGATGATGATGACGACGATATTTCGGTTGTATCTGATATGAATGAGCGACGGAATCGTGAACGGGATTTCGATGATATGTCGTCTGTTTCCTCGTTTGAGGGTGATGAAAATGAGCACGGGGATGGTCACAATAATGGACATTCGCGATGAAGGCGGTTAAATATTACCTCTTGAGGTTTCATTGTTCTTTTGCGGTTTTTTCCATATCTACTGAGCGCGGCGTTAGGCGAGCCTTCAGTTTTGGCTTGATTTTCATCATGATATACCTGTGGCGTACAGGGTAAGGCATTCAAGTTTGATATACCTCCCCTAGGTTTCAGATTCACTTCCAAGGTTTCACTTTCAAATTCAAGTTCAATCGTCCCGTACCAAGGACTCGGACTTGAAGGATAGGCCCGTAGCTGCGAATTGAGTTGTAGTTTTAGTTGAACTAGTACTAGGCATGGATGGGTCATCAATCATCAATAATTTCAATGTATTCTGATATATACATTCAAGTAACTTTTCACGCTCAATTTCGGAAGAATAAAACTAACGGCCACCACCAAAGTCAGGCTTGTACTCCTGGATCTTGCCCTTAGTCAATTCGCGAAGAGCCATGGTCGCATACTGGCTCGATCCCAATTGGAACTTCAGCACAACAGCCAGCTTGTCGCCCTCGAGCTCTGATGTCTTTTCTTCGACGGCGCCTCGCAGCTTCTCCAGATCCGTTTGCACGAACTGCTCGTTGTCTTCGGAGTAGAGTCTCGCCTCAACGGAGTAGTCAGCGCCCATGCGGCTCAGGATCTTGCGGTAACCTCCGCTGAGACTGGCATCCTTCCACTTGCGGCGCATGTTGAACGGATCGAGTTGGCCACCCTTCTCGCTGCCCATAAAGTCACGGTAGAAGTCATTCATCTTGTTGGCGGGGTAGATCACATCGAATCCAGGCTGGGGGAGCACCACGTCAAAGATGCTGTACTTGCCGCTTGCCGCCTCTTCGGCCGTCAAGGCTCGTGCACGTGTGAACATGTCCTCGGCGGCAGCGGCACTGTCATCGCCTTCAGGTCTAATAATAATCTCGCCATCCGCGTCAATGTTGCCGGCAGGCTCGGGAGCCGAGGCTTCTTTATCACGGTGCTCCTGAACAATAACCAGGTCACCTTCGACAACCTGATCACCGTAAAGGCGCCAGCGTTGGCTGACCGCGTAGTTCCAGACCAGTGATTGGTACGCGTGAACGTACATCAAGCGCAGGTTGCGCGGAATAGTCTGTAGCGCGCCAAGGTAGTCCTTTCTACTTTTACCAAGGTGACGAATGATATTGGCCTCGGCGGAAAACTTCCTCGGGAGCTTAGCCAAAGCATCATTGATGCCTCCGGTGGTCTGGAAAAGGTTGATGGCCTCGGCGCGCGCCTTGTCATCCGAGCTGATAGGTGCTGTTGAGGACTCGCCCTCCTGGGCCGCAGCGAGAACGTGAGGGGGGAAGTGCAAGATAGACTCGACAGCTCCCTCGAAATCGTTCTGCAGGATCTTGACACCGACTGTATCGGTGCGGGTTGTGAAGGAACCGAAGCGTTGGAGACCATAGTAGTTGAAGTATCCTCTCTCGCGGAGGTTCTTAAGCGCAGTTCCGATCAGTTCAGTGGCCTTGGCAATCGTAGCCTGGGGGTCTTTCAGATCAACACCGGGAATCACGGATTCACGTAGGGTAATGACGAATTCATTTCCGCCAAGATCACCAAGCTCCAGGCCGTTCTTGCAATACTCGAAGTCACCCAGGACTGCGTTTCGGAGAGTCTTGTTAATGTTGACCAGACGCTCCGCGTGTGCACGCAAAACACATGCACGCTGAGCGGTCGCACCACGTCGATCCTTGGTTCCAGCAAATTGGAAGCTCTTCGGGTTTGTCTTCATTGTGCGCGAAATGAACGAGATCACCTCCATCGTATCCTTGTTTTCCTTGTAAAGGGTGAAATGCAGGTATGGGCCACCAAGCTCATCCCAGCTCATGCGACCACCGTCAGAGGCGCGACCACCACGAAGACGTGCGCCAGAAGGCTTACGCTTGAAGCGGTTGTTGGCCGCGGTGATACCGAGATTACCATCGCCATCGGTGGAGGACTCGAGTTGGGCATTGAAGACACGACGGAGAGTCTGGTGGATCTTGGTGCGCAGTTCCCGGTCGGAAACGGAGACAGTGACCTTGCCGAACTCCGAGGGTCTTCCTTTCGGCGATGACATGGCGCGCTTATGGAGATCGATGGCTGCAACAGCATTGTCGGCACCCAGGTATTCGGTCAGCAGCGCATTATCCTCCTCGGATACATTGAGCTCGGTAGGAGTTTCCTCTTGGGCGGGTTCTTCGGGTTCCGGTACTGGTTCCTTTGGCTGCTCGACAGGTTGCTTCGTGGAGTTGGGAGGGGTGGTGGTTCGCAGGTGCAGAACTTCGCCGGAAGGCAAGATCTCATTGACCAAGAAGTCGGTGTACCTGAAAGGAGAAGCTTAGCAGGAAGCTTATGTTATTGGATTCACTTCCAATTCTCACCTCTTCTTCAGGATACCCGAAAATCCTTCGTTGCTGGCCGTCACAAACTCGGTGATACCGACCTCGAGCTCCTTCAACGTCTGGGCATTCTCGGCCGGGGCGCTGGTCGTCGGCAGCGCATCTACTGCACCATCAGTCGCGGCAACAGCTTCGGTCTTTTGCCGCTTGCGCGGGGATTCCACGAGTTCTGGGTGCTCCATTGCGCGGGGTTGGAGATGAGAAGATCTGAAACCAAACCAACTCGAAGATCTCTGGAAGATCTGGAGAGCTCCGAAGTTTCACGCATTGGGAATAGCGTGGGGTTAGCCCTAGTTTCCTGATTGGGCCAGACTCAACCACATATCGCTGTGTAGCAATGGTCTACTACAACTACTAGTACCAGGAAACTAAATACCATTTGGTCATCTCGACATGTTTAATCCTTTTAGGAGGCAGGTTGGAGCAGCCTGGCAGCGGATTAGCCTCAGTTCTGAACTCCCAGACCTCGGGGACGACGAGAACTACAGGATTGCGCCTCGATGCAAGGCTTTCAATGTCCCCAAGGAGGGTGGGCCCTCGGAACAAGTTGAAGATATTGACATGCCGGGGATATGAAAGATCAAGTTCTTGTTTTTAAATATAAAGGAAAGGTCCACGCCGTTGACCATGTAAGTAGACTGCCAGCTCCCCTGCAGTGAGAATGGGTCCGAGCTAAACCTGCATAGCAATGCCCTCACTCGGCATTCCCCCTCTCTCAGGGCAATCTTTTTGATATTGAAGATTTTGGAATCGCTTTGTCCACCGGTATCATGTGCCCTAAGCATGACTGGTCTTTCGACATCATCACAGGCAAGGCTGATCGAGGCAGCTACAAGCTGAAGGTGTGGGAGGTCCAGCTGCGAGATGTCGCGGACACCGAAGATGACAAAGAAGTTTGGGTGCGTCGGAAGCAGAGAATTGGTTAAAGCATTTTCACTGGCTTCACTTCATGCTGGGCCTGATTTTATCTTCACAGCCGTGTCCAACTCGGAAAATTGGTCTACGGCATGTTGAGTACCGATCGTCTCATAGCCTCTCTCTCCGCCAATCTGCAAGACCATATAGCCCCTCAGCTTCCGCTTGGGCCAGCAAATTGTCTTCAGATCTTTGAGTGGGTTATCGGAGGAATCAAGTCTAGTTCCAAGCATCTAGCTTTTCCAACTCGTGGTTTATAAAATGAGGTCATCCAAGCCCGGCATCCGTTGATCCTTCCGGGCTCTCTGCTACGACTGATTTGACGGAGCGAACCAGCAAACCCGGTGGAGACTCACATTCAAGACCCGACTAGAGGGATTCGTTCCTCCACTTCGCACAAGTCTTGAGAGCCTGATCCCACTCTCCGTTGGGTCAATAGCGACAACTCAACTTGAGATCAGACCTCGGGACCCAACGGGCGGGGGCCCTTCGCAATGGCTCACGATAGCCTGGGCTTGAAGGACAGTCTTGACCAAGGCCTGAAAGAAATTCTAATATATACTAGTAGAGTTTCTTTCAAGTGGTCTTTTTGCAGGTTTCTAGATGTTTCATGCAGCATTTGTACATTGGTCTCATGAGACTCCGGCTACGGATATAATGTATAAAATTATGTACATATACAAACAATTCACATAATCGAAAGGGGGTATTTAACCATTAACCAAAGAGATACTTCTTCCAACTCTGTTTCCAAGGCTTCCAAGTCCCACCAAAGCGGTGATTAATACAAGCATGAGTGCTGAAAAAGTTCTCGGCTCCACTGTGTCGTTGTCCATTACCCCACGCATTAATAGGTAACACACACAACCCGCCCAGATCCACCCCTGCCTTGGCCTCCGATCCTTGAACACAGCGGGGTGCGCTGAGCCCGGAGAACGGGGCCCATGTTACACGCTGCGTCAGGCCCCCTGTCGCCGGCGAAATTAACTCGCCCAACCCCGTGTCGGCGGTCACCGACTCGGAAACAAATGGGTGGGAGGCCGGGAGTGTATCAGATAAGACGTCTAAGATCGCATCTGTGAAGACTCCCGGACCGGTGATTTCCAATGTGGTCAATTCGTTATACCGTGCCCCGATGAAGACGTTGCTTTCGTCCAGGTGGCGTTTCGTGTGCGACAAAACGCGCACGATGATTTCTCTGAGTAGTGGGCTGAATTGGCGTGGTGCGAACATGGTATATTGAATGAAGCCGTAGCTTCGAACCCAGTGCCAGTCGTGCATCTTCTGGGCCGAGGCGAATGGCTCGTCGATTTCGACGCCGACCACGAGCGAGATGTCTTGCATGTCTGTTTTGAATACCGATTTCTGCAGTGATGGACACGATTTGATCGATCGGGCCGGGAAGACATCGGTATCGGCATAGTAGCCACCGTAGTACCATAGGATCAAATATCGGAGCAAGTCAGCTCGGAGAACATGGTGAGGGTAGGCGTGGTATAATGTTGATAGGCCGGGGATGGATGAGAGGGTGATAGTGACGAATTCTTCTGCCCATTCGGTAGTGGCGAGCTGAGAAGGTTAAAGTTAGCACTCATAGCACAGGTGCGAACAAAATATAAAGAAAAACCTACCTTGTATTTCCACTCGGAGTTCTTCTCCTCAAATTCGAGAGAATCAGGGCCCCGTTCCTCGGCGCCGGGGTCTTTCCCCAGGATGATCTGCCATATAGTATCCGAGGGACCAGCGGGACCATGTAAGGTCAATTGCTGTTCCTCAATGTCGCGCAATGCCTGGGATAGCTGCTGTTCATAGGCGGTGTCTGGATTGTCGCGGAATGTGGAGCGGTAGAGGTAACGCGGTTGATCTGCCACGTGCGAATGCGCGTGGCCCTGGAGGTGGATTGCAATTGCAGCCAACTTGAAGGAAGACCCTTGACGAGCACCAGGACGAGCAGCAGAGCAACCACGATATAGTATTTCCGCCGGCTGGAAGTAGCGGGTCGAAATCGTCTCATGGTGGACGATGAGCCATGATCGGGGAGAGAATGAATCGAAAGTCAGGGTCACTGGGATTTGGTGTCAGCAATGGCGGGCAATTGGCAGTGGACCCTTTCTTGGCGGTGTGGAGTCGCCCCCACAAGGCAAGCGTGGTAGTATAGCCTTGGAGTAGGAGAATAGTAAGGAGAATAGTAAAGGGAGAAGAGAGAGAAGAGAAGAAAAGTTGGAGGACTTGAACTGGTAGAGTTAGAGTAGGAGTAGGAAAGAAGATATGACAAGCAATACCTTATACTTCCTTGTATAGAACTAATAGTGTATACTATTAGTTCAGTAGGAAGTAAACAGTTATTCAATACTACTAATACTACTACTCTAATACTAGTAGTCGTAGTAGCTGCTACCAGGTGCTATTCAGCAGATCCTAGTTACTCTTAAGCCTGTTAACTCTGGACTACATAAAATGGGACCAATTGCTTAAGATATCAGAGAGTAGAAGTAGTCTTACTCCAATAGTCAAAAGTGGTGTGGAATTCCAAATTTTTGCCCAGGTGCAGCTGTGAAAATCAGAAACTTCTATTGAGTGCACTAGAACTGAGCTTTAAAAGACCAGGCCGCGAGCGTTTTATGTGTTTGATTTTGTAGCCTGAACTTCACCATGGGACCTGGGCACCTTCACCATCTTCACAATCTTTATACTTTCACCCCACCTCAACCACCTACTTCGTTTGTCAAGGGCACGTTCAAGTTGGTATCAATTTTCAAAGTCATGACCTCTTATCGTGGCCATGATCGTGGTCGTGGCCAAGGCCGCAGCTCTGGCCGCAGCTCATCCAGCCCAGTCATACGAGCAACAGGATTAGGATCAGGGACAGGGACAGGTACAATCCATACAATGCCCTTTCACTCTTCCCATCACCTGCATGCAGCCGCCTAGGCAGTCCAAATTCCGAACCATCTTCTCGTCTGAAAGCACACACTAACCAATCCAATACCAGCCCGATATCCACCCCATCTCATCACCGGACAGACATCCTTGAACGCCAGCAACCACAGCATCTACAACAATCGAGCCGTAAACAACTTGAACAGAGTGACAGCTCAACCCTCACCCCACGCTCGACCAACCCCAGAACAATCCCGCGCAGATCTAGTCCGAAATTCCGCGTTGACCATAGCAACCTCTCAATCCCAATCCACCACCAACACTGAAGCCCTCGCCTGGACCCACCTTGCCTCCGTATCATCTCCATCTCCATCCTCATCTCTATACCCGATCCAAAGACCCATGGACCCAGACGCAATGGACATCGACACTCCCCAGCACCACCAACAGCCCCCTCAATCTCTGATCCAGGTAGCAGCAGCGGGCACCACAGCTCCACGCGGCTACATCGGAAACAACCAAGTCTTCCGACACACATTTGAGATTGAAATCCGTAACCCGGTACCGGGACGTATGCCGGACCTGGAAATCCTGCGGACGGCACGCGCGCGCATTCGCACGGGTGTTCAAGCCCCCATCCCACCGACACGGCTTTCTTATCCGAGTCAGCGACCCGTGAGAAGGAACTTGGTGCTGCTGATTATAATCGATACGTTTTCGATGGATCGGCAGGATGCGCTGGTTATTGCGGATTGGAGGTTGCATTTTATGATTGAGATGATTCACGACGCTCAGGGTTTGGGATGGTTTCCTGGTTTGCCGTGGATGCATGATCATTTTCAAGTGCGAGTGGCTGTTTAGAAAGGTGCATCTTTGAGAGTGAATGCATAGGAAGTAACTCATTTTCATCCCAGTGGAATGGTATGGCCGATGTGACTATTGCTGCCTGGTGACATAATTGAGAGCCAATATTTGTGGCGAAGGAGATAGTTCTCATTATCAATATTACTATCTACCTATTTCATATTAGAACTTCACGATTCATATCAGACATGTCCCAATACGTAGGGCGGTGATTGTAGTAATCCTACCAAATGCGATGCAATACAATGCAAGATCCCCGACTCCTAAATCCATTCCAAGGATTCCATAGATGCGGCTGAGACAGACTCCACAGACTCCACAGATAGCACAGATTCAGCCCGCAAAGAGGACGAGGATATCGATATCACACTGAGAGACTCACTCCCTTCTCTATCCTCACATTGCTCTCCTCCGCCCTTAGCATCACCACCACTTTCCCACGACTTCTTGATGGCCTTGACGGTCGGCCACACCTTTTTACGGGCGTCACTCCGCTCCATCCCGCCATCGAGAAGAGAATCATAAGGCGTGTGAGTATGTCTGATATGAGCTTCCACGGCCAGCGAGGCTTTGCGTTTATCAGTTGTCATACCAGTGCGACCGACGCGGCCGGAGCCCTTGAGGAAGGCATGATTCATGACAATATCCAACGTAGCCGCTGGCATTAACGGGAATTCTGAGCGCAGGAGTTGGCGCCCGCGTGATAGAACCTTTGTGTCGTTGGTTTTGACGGCCTTGGCGCGGGATTCAGCTGTTGCAGCGGCTGTTTTCAGGACTTCTGAATGGATCGAGGATGGGACTCGGATTCCGAAGCTGCGTTTACCGGCTTTGTCCTGGTTTTTTGTTAGCATGGGTGGTTGGTGCCAGTGGGGGTGGAGAATGGACTTACCCAGACTGTATAGACCATTTGGTCAGATTCTTTGGTTTTGATACGACAGTTTCTGGTGATGTACACATCGCCTTTTGGGACGAAGGTATAGCCGTCTGGCATGGGGGACTTGTCCACGATGTTCTGTATTAGTCGCGTTAGAGAATTTGCTTTGGTAGGAGTTTTGTGGTTAAGTTTGGAACTGACCTTTTCAAGGGGATCATCGGATTCTAGAAAGATATGTTTCCCCCGCTTCTTCTTGGTCGAGCCCTTTGGGCGTGGGCGATTCAATTTTGAGAGTGGCTGATTGTCAGACCCCCCGAGCAATGAATGAAGAGGGGCTTCATTTTGTGGATTTGATGAGCTTCCCGAGTTCTTCGCACGAGCTCTCTTGCGACGATTCTTTTGCCCTCCGGAATTGCGTGGAGCTGTACGTTTGGGAGGCATGGTGTGGGATGCTGTAGGGATGGAGATAGGGATGGCAAACAGATAAAGCGGCAAAGATCAAAGAAGCAAAGAGAAGGACAAAGAGTGGAAAGGGCAGAAACAGTATCTGCCCCGGACAAAGGATCATTCAGATGCGACCGGCATTTCCCTGGTGGAGGTGGATGAAGCTAGAGATGAAGGTGAAAGTGAAAGTGAGGTGTCTCCGCGGAAGTCTTGGCAGCGAGAGCCTCACTGATAGTGATAGTGATAGTTATAGTTATAGCTATAGCTATACACGGTAGAAGTGTATGAGAGATGCAAAATATTAGAATTATTTCATTATTAGCTTTAGTATTATGATAATATTACTAATATCCTGTCTGCTCTGTCTGTACTCTAAAAGTTAAGGTAATGGCAATTGACTTTGCACCACGCCGTTTGTGCCATGATCGGCAAAAGGCAAAGGGCTTCCGATCGTATTGGTTTATGGCAAAATGGGAGCCCTAGAGGGATTGGAGCTTAACTAGGATAGTCTTAGTACTAGTACTACTCATGGTATCACAAGCAACCGGCAAGCGAGGCTGAAGGCTGAACCAGCGGCCTGGGAAACCGGTTTGCACAGAGCAAGGGGGGGATTCAGGGATCAGGGATCAGGGACCGGGGATAAGGGATGCAGGGGTAGGAGAGCTCCTGTATCCAGTGGACACTGGTGTAAGTAGTATATGTACAAGTAGTACGAGTAGTACTTACAGCATTGAGTAGGTCACCTTGGAGATATACAGGTATCGAGGTTTATTGGCACTGCTGGTACTGGCACTGCTGACATGGCACGCAATGAATGTCGTCATGAGTGCTCCAGAGTGCTCCAGAGTCGAGAGAGCTCCCGTCGGACTAGGTTTAGTACGAACAGACTAAGCCAAGGCCAATCTCATCTCCCTCGTTCGAGAGTGGGCGCCAATCGGGGTTCGGAGGGTTGGGGGTCGTGGGTCCTGGCGCAGCTGAAAGAGAGTAAGATGAGCTGAGGAGAGGAGAGTGTTCAGAGTATCCAGTGCAAAGTACTCAGTGCAGAGTACTGCAAGTAAATGTAAGTAAATGGAGGTGTAAATGTTGTAGACATAGATATCAAGTACCAGTCAGCCTTCAGGTACCTGCAAGATTTATGCAGGAACCAGGCACAAACGCAGTGGATCGGATGACAAAAAGTCCCCACGGAAGAAAAGAAGAAAAGAAGAAAAGAAAGATCCGATCTGGACCAACTAAGGAAAAGAAAAACACTTCAGTTTACTCCCACCACTCTACACTCTCTACACTCTCTACACAACCGAGTGTAATCATAGTTATCTCATAACTATACTCATACTCTACTCACACTACATCACTCCTATCATCACCATCATCACCATCACCACCATCACCACCACCACCACCTCCTCCTCCTCCTCCTATAAACCACACCACACCACACCACACCACACACACCAACTTCAATGCTCCCTGCCGAGCATTCCTTCCTTAACTCTCCTTAAGGTTGTTTGGCCCATGGTTGCTGGGCCCTGCTGACATGAGTTGGGATCCCCCTGTCCACAGGTATGTACCAGCTACCCCTTCCTCCTGTGCGGGGAACTCCTACTTGTCTTGTGTCTTGTGTCTTGTGCCTTAGCAGAATCTACTTGGTCTTTGGGTTTATCGTGCTGGCTTCTACCTTTTGTCTTTTGCTTTCTCTGCCATGCTCTCTCCCACCGGCATCCTCCACTACCATGATGCTAATGCACCCCGCCATGTTCAGCTTCAGCTATCCCTCTGGCGAGCCACAAACTCCCACGAGAACGCCCACCACCCAACCCCTCGATTCTTTCACTCCCAAGCTCGAGTCTAGCTTCTTCGATCCCCGGGTCACCTGGGACACCGCCGACCCTTATGCCTCCAGCCCCGAGTTCCTCCGTTCGCCCCAGAAGCTAGGCCTTCACCCAGACCAAACCGATACCGTCAGACGGATTCGCCCTGGGAGACCTTTAGACCCTATGAGTGAGGATGGTCCGCGGACCGTGGACTCGGCAAAGTCGGCCGCCTCGATGCAGACCCCTCCTCCGACCAGTGCTTCAAGAAGGAAGATTCCGGACTTTGAGCCACTGACCGGTGCCGGCAGGGGAGCTACACCACGGATTGGAGGGGGAGCAGGAGAAGGAGGAGCACATTTGGAGACACCCAGCCGTTTGCTAGGAACCTCGCCCCGAATGTTCGGAAACCTCCAGGCCTCACCGGACCTCTTCCAGCTGGCCTCATTGGATTCGACGGGCTCGCCTTTCTTTCCGCAACAACGACTCTTTTGGGACCAGCAAGATCAGGACCAGAGCCATCTTCTTCAGAACCAGCATGCTACGGCCTCCAACGATATCCCTTTACCCAGCACCGGTCTTAGTGCTCATGCTGAGAAACCCTCCAGCTACCCTTCTCTCAATAACACCCATTTCCCCCAATTGCCCGCCATCGATGGCTCCATGGATCTGCCTGACTTCCACGGAGCGTTTGGCATCTCCTCCGCTCCTCCAACTGATGCTGCATTATTCCCCGCCCCCTTCTCAACCTCCCCGCGAGTGCCTGTCGCCAAGGCAGAAGACCCAGCCATGTTTCTCAGCTCACCCGCTCGACGATTTGGTGGACCTCAACTCACCCCGGAACGAAGACCTCTCAACGGTATCAGACAACCTTACTACCACCAAACCCAAGAATATAAACGGGAGGAGCTGCGCCGTGCCCTCGGTCAGCCGGGAGGACCCCCAAGACCATTCGGAAGTCTTTCGGAAGAGGACGAAGACGACGATTTCACACCGCGAGGGAGACGGCCAGGACTGACTCGAAGTGCTACCCATACGGCTATTACGAGCTCTGCATCACGGCCTGTCAGTCAAGCTGGAGGCATGATGGCTTCGACGAACGGTATTCGCAAGAGTCCCTCCAAGGGCCGGGCATCAGGCCGCTCCTCTCCCGTCAAGACTATGCGTCCAGCACCTCTCAGTCGATCTAGTTCTGTTGCAACGAGCCTTCCTACTCGCTCCCGATCCATCGTGCTCAGCATTGGCTCGGATGGTCGCGCCAAGGCTGAGATGAAGCCTACAGATCAGAACCCAACCAGTTTGACTGATCCCTTAACGGGCATGGACCTCGATGGCTCTGCTACCGAAAGTGAGGTGGACCCAGCAGAGTACTCAGAGTATCCAGTCCTTCATCGATCGCAATCTTCATTTCCTGTTTTCGAAAATCGTCCGCCATTGTCTCGCAGCGACTCCGGCTCTCGACCTCCCTCCAAGGGCTCATATACTTCTACAGTAGGCTCCTCGCACTCAGGTCGCATGTCTCCCTGGGCTGGATCTTCTCGGGGAGGTACTGGTCGATCAACTTACCGCGGATCCCCCGAGGCCGTGAAACGAACACCGAAACGGCACTCTTCATTGCTGCACTCCGATGCTTCATACACCAGAGGCAGCACTGCCTCGCAGGCACTCCCCGGGGACGACTCGGATAGCGGCGACGCTCAACATGCGCTGCGCCAAGTGCTGAAAGGGCGCGGCCGAGCTCCAAAAGCGAGACCTTCAACCGGCGGGTATACTGCTCGCATGCCACGATCTTCACATACGTTTGCCAATCTTCGCTCTTCACCTCCTCGCCTTCATAGCGATTTTGATATCCACCACCGTCAATCCAACCCATCCCCCACAACTATGACCGACCCCGATCTAGCCACACCAAGCACCGATCGCCATAGCAATCCTAGCAACGGGACGCGCTGCGTCTGTCGCTCAATGGACAATGGCGGTCATCTGATGATTCAATGGTGAGTTCTCGGGCAATAGCTTACTTGCACTTATCACCCCCCCACCCTGAACAAGATCATACTAACATCCCCCAGTGAATCATGTACGCATTGGCTACACACTAAGTGTGTTGGATTAGAGCGTTCCAACCTGCCCTCTTTCTATGTGTGTCTCTTTTGTGACCAAACCCCATCCCGACAAAACCGCGTCCGATCAAGCTACGGTGGCGGCCCACCATCGCCTCTAGCACACAAATCCTTTCGATTCCGGTAGCCCTACCGTGGCTGCATTAACTTATATACTGGAGTCCTGACGACCCCCTCTCTTTTGTTCTTCACGCCGGGTTCTTTTACTTAGTCGGGCCACCTCCCGCGATTATTTTCCTAATTGTTTCCCACCCCCTTCATGATGATACCTATGTACTTCCTGTTTTTGTTACTTTTCCTTTTTTACTTTTTTTACTTTTCCATCTTCTCTCCGAGACCCAATAGAATCCGTTCCTATCACCTCAATCCTTGGAAATCCATCGGAAACGCCCCCGAAGAGTCCGCGGTTCGAGTCGGCTTATCGCCCTCACCGCCTTTTAGTTATCGTAAAATTAAGAAATCCAATTTCCCCCGCAAGTCGAAAGTTGGAGTCATTGTCACACATTCTCTCTTTCACTCGAACTCGTCCTTCGTTTCTAGACAGGCCATGTCTGCCTCACTCCCCGGTTCCCGGGACCTGCCATCCTCCCAATATGATCTGAAGAGCTACTGGGGCCGTGTCCGCCATGCCGTTGACCTCTCTGACCCTCGGTGAGTCTGCCCGTACTCTGTGGCTGGCGTGTGGAAGTACTAGTAGTACCAGGGACTAATTGAATTTGTTTAGGACGCTCTTGACCTCGTCCGCAGGCCTGGAAGAGGCCAAGACTCTGATCTCCTCGTACAAGCAGAACAAGATCCCCGTCATGACCCCGGATCTGTGGGCGGCCAAGAAAGTTGTTGACTCGACCCTGCACCCGGGTATGTATTGATATACCGCGAGATATTTGCCCAGAGGACTCCATTATTGACTATTCTCTATCACAGACACCGGAGAGGCTGTCACGCTCCCTTTCCGCATGTCCGCCTACGTTCTGACCAACCTGGTCGTCACTGGCGGCATGCTTACCCCAGGTCTTCAGGTGAGTGCGAAGAGGCCTATCTCAGAGTCGAACATTGTGCTAACCTTCCACCCCAGACAACCGGAACCCTCCTCTGGCAAATCACCAACCAATCACTAAACGTCGCAATCAACAACGCCAACGCCAACAAATCAACCCCCCTCTCCACCTCCCAAATCGCCAAATCCTACCTCATGGCCGTCTCAGCCTCATGCTCCGTCGCCCTGGGTCTGAACGCCCTCGTCCCCCGCTTGAAGGGTATTGCCCCAAACACCCGCCTCATCTTATCCCGCCTGGTGCCCTTCGCCGCCGTCGCGAGCGCTTCAGCCTTAAACGTCTTCCTCATGCGCGGCGAGGAAATCCGTCAAGGAATCGACGTCTACCCCATCCTCTCGCCGAGGAGCGCGCTAAGCGCGAAGCCCTGGGCGACGACGCCCCGCCCCTCGAGAGTCTGGGTAAGAGTAAGAAGGCTGCTACATTGGCCGTTGGCGAGACGGCTATTAGCCGTGTGTTGAACGCTACACCTATTATGGTCGTGCCTCCTCTTATCCTGGTTAAGTTGGAGAAGACTGAGTGGTTGAAGGCGCGGCCTCGAATGGTTCTTCCTGTGAATCTGGGTCTTATTTTGACGACTTCGCTGTTTGCGCTGCCCTTGGCTTTGGCGGCTTTCCCCCAGCGTCAGGCTATTTCTGCGGCCAGTTTGGAGGAGGAGTTCTGGGAGAAGGGTGGTTCTTCTGGGATGGTTGAGTTTAACCGGGGTATGTAGATGGACAATATAGTATAGGTGAGTGAGCGCTACTGGTGGATGGACAGACAGATAGTTTCTTGCTTTTGGCGTTGCTCTGGGGTATTTCATTTGCTGTGCTTGCATTTACATTAGATCGTCTTGATTTAGATTTATAACAAGTACAAAGTTTATTTATTTCGGAATACATCATTTTCGTACAATCATTCCAATATGTGCCAGCGGCGGTGGCTCTATCTGACTACTAGTACTAATAGCAGTGGTATCATGGTCTCACCAGCTATCGAAGTGACCTTATCTTGAAGGACTCCCACCTGTATTATTAAAATGCGGAATCTTTCTCGCCGAGAGAATGCCCTCGATAAATTCAGCCAGCTCCAACAACACCTCATCTCCGCCATCTCGCCCCATCAACTCCAATCCAATCGGTACACCCTGGGGGGCATCGGGTGTAGCAGGACTGAATCCAGCTATAAACAAGTAACGCATTAGCAATAGCATCAGCATCATGCCTCTCTAACCTCATTCCTGAGAAGGGAAGTCGATTATAGAAAAAGCTTGAACTTACCTGGAATACAAACAGCAGGCCTACCCGTCAGAGCAGCAAGGATCCCATTCCTGGCTGGCTGAATCGTCGGCCCGATTTTTATAGGAAAGTGGCGCTGGTGTGGGTATACAAGGGCGTCGACGTCGTGTTTGGTGAAGATTTCTCGGACAGAATTCTTTAATGATTCGATGAGGGTGAGTCGAGTTTGGTATTCTGAGCTTTGGCGCGAATATCTGTGTTTGTCGCTGAGTGGGAGGGTGAATACATCTGTCACGGCCTTTTGATCGTACTCTCCGCTTGAAGCGATGCTTTCGAGGGAGGTGTGCGGGGATGAGATTTGATCCGATTGAAGGAACTCGTTTAGATATTCTCTGAATTCAAAGGCTTGCGTGTCTCCGTTGCTGAGGAGGTGGGATGCGCTCCAGTCAACATCATTATGGTTGCTGGCTGGGATAGGGACAAGGGTGATGCTGATATCGAGGTTGACATTGGTATTTGATGGGTCTTGCGCCGAGGAGATCAGAGATAAAGCTTTCCGAGTAACATCTTGCACGATAGCATTTTCGGCGACGAGTTCTGGCTCCAATTCCAAGTTTGCATCGCTGGAGGATGATGACGGCGGCGTCTCCAGATGGAAATATTCCTCCAAAATCCCAATTCGAAACACACTCTTACTCTCAGTCTCACTTGCCTGCGAAAGTGAATCCCCCTTCATCACATCAAACAAGACACGCACATCACCCACACACCTCCCCATTGGACCCGCAACATCCTGCGTCTCAGAAACCGGCACAATCCCCTCTGCATCAACCCTACCAACCGACGGCCGAAACCCAACAATCGAGCACGCCGACGCAGGCGAACGTAACGAATTAACCGTATCAGTCCCACATCCCACCATGCCTAAGTTCAGCGCCAATCCAGCTCCCGTACCGCCAGATGATCCGCCCGGTGTTCGGGTGATATCGTAGGGATTGAGGGTCTGCCCACCGAGCGAGGATGTTGTTGTTCCGTGGAGGGCGAATTCATGGAGATTGGCCTTGGCCAGGATTATAGCGCCGCTTTGCCGGAGCTTTCGTACCACATTGCTATCCCTCTTGCTGGTTAATGTGGCTAGGGCTTTTGCGCCGCCGCTTGTGGGGAGGTCGTGGGTTGTGTAGTTGTCTTTCAGGAGGACTGGGACGCCGTGGAGGGCAGGGAGTCTAGCAGTAGTGCTAGTACTGCCCGCATTGCGCTGGAGGAGACGATCAGTCTCGGCATCCTTTTCGGCGGCTTCGGTTAGGGCGTTCGGGTTGATTGCTATAAGGCTTTTTATTGTTGGGTCGTGCTGGGCGATGCGGGATAGATATGCGCCAACTACGGCGGTGATGGTTGTGCGCCCCTCGCGCAGTGCGGCGTGGAATGTGGGGATTGTAAGTTCTGTTACATCGATTGTGCTTGCGTGTGAACTCATATTGCAAGGACTTGGTGTGGGTGCCCGTGTGCAGTGGCATGCATTGGGGTGGGGAGGTAGATATACTACCAGAGTTGGAGGTGAGTTGGAGTTGGAGTGGACTTGGAATTGGAGTAGGTGGTAGTTAGTAGTAATAAATGAGAAGATGTTCGGAGAATAGTCCGAGTCCGAGGTTATCAACCTCAGACTTGACGCTAACTACTAGTTAGTTACTGCATGACTGGTTCGCTCTGACGTACTAACTACTGGCACTGGCACTGCACTGGTGGCCTGGAGTAGCCTGGGAGACAGTCGAATGCAATTACGAGATGATGATACACGCAAGGAGTACTACAGACACCCAGAGAAACGTGCGAATCTGAATCACTGATCATCACGGCTGACAACTTCTATTGTTATTGTTTACAAAAAGGAGGAACGCAAGAATCAATGATAATGGAGTCCGGCCAGGCCAATGCCTATATACATCTCCACCACTCCACTCAGACGCCCAGATATCACCGTTCAACATGGTATAAGAATGTCGCCAGGGAAATCTCCAATGCCCCATGGCTACTCAGATAAAACGCAGATGCAAACAACCAGTAACATAACCTGCGCCGGAAAGATAGGCAGAAACAATGAATAGATAAAAACCATAAGATACCGCGCTCCCATCGCGTGAGATGCTTCGGCCAGCACCATGAAGGGGGAGAAAACCGTTGCTGAGGTTTGAAAAAGAGTAGAAAGTGTGGAAGAACAAAGGGCACCATCGTAATCGTCATTTTCCCTGAAAGAACACCGACCCGCCCACCGTGAAATCCCCTCCGGTTGAATAATTAAACCTAAAACCCCCAAAAAAACGAACCGTCTATCCTGAAAAGGACCCGAGAGACGCCAAATGCTGGAAGAGCTGAGAGCTGGATGCTCAATGCAAAATGGCTAACCGGTCTGATTACCCACGGCCCTGGCGATGCAGGCCCATGCCAATGCGGTATGCTTCGGTGCCGTCATCGATCAGACTCTCTTTGAACCAAGGATGCTTGAGCGCCTCCTTCGCCGTGAGACGGTTCTTGGGGTCGTAGACAAAGATGCGCTGCAGCAGGTCAAGGAATTGACGGTTGAAAGGGGTATTGGTGGGAATAAATTCCTTTTGAATGGTCAGTGGAATACTTGGTGGACTGGCTCCGGAGGTGACACTTACGGTGAGGCCTTTCATCGCTTTGACATACTTCCTCGATGCACGAGTCGTCTCATTGTTCGGGTAGTCGAGTTTGCTTCGGTTGAAATACCTGGGATCGTTAGTCTTTGAAGAAAAGTCTCGCATACTGTGAATTCTGCTCACTTGGCTGCCGAGTTGTGGCTACCGGCTCGGCCTTGCACGACCTGTCGCACGAGTCTCGAGTCGATTTTCGTCCCAATAACGGCCTCCATCATAGCCAAATGTTCGAGGTTGTCGTGTGTCTGGAAAAGGGCATCGCCGGTGAAGAACTCCACCAGGATACACCCAATACTCCAGATATCGCAAGGGAAACTCCATCCCAGGTTCAGAATGATCTCGGGGGCTCGGTAGTGACGGGTGGAAACAACGGAGGAATGGTACTCGTCATCAAATGTTGCGGAACCGAAGTCGATCAGTCGGATCTCGCTGTCGAGAAGAACACGCCGTTGACGAGCGTTCCGGGGGTTTGCGTGGGAGGAGGAAGGGATGGTACGGTTGTAGGTAAAGGTCTGGTAGGCGTTGCTGACGAGGAGGATATTTTCGGGCTTCAGGTCGGTATGGATGAGGTTGAGGTCATGAAGGACTAGGAGAAGGTCAGTATAAATCGCCACGAACGTCTGGTCAGGATCAACTCACAGGCCACACTGGTGAATAATTGGCGGGCAAATTGCTGAATCTGACTGCTGGGAAATGGAACGAAACCATTGCCTTTGAGGAAGTCGAAAACGCTCTGACCAAGCAGATCGGTGACGATGCAGATATGGTTGCGGAAATCAAAGCAGTCGCGAAGATGTATACATTTGTTACGGTTGCTCTTGTCGTTGGAGGCCAAGGTTGACAGCACGCGCAACTCGATCCGAGAGGCATCTCGGTACTTTTGGATTGATCGAATGATCTTGACGGCACAACGCGATTTCCGCTGCTTGTCGTAGGCTTCAACAACTTTACCAAAAGTGCCTTGGCCCAAGAGCTTGATGATTGAGTCTGGAATAGTCAGCACAAGCAAGGGTAACAACACATTGCGCGCCACTCACATCGATCGGTCAATGGCACATCGGGTGTGACAATATAGTGACCATCGTCATCGTCGTACTTTTCGTGTCGGGCGGCCGCAAACTGTTGGGAGTTGGTGTGTTAGTTCAATTCACTCAATTTTCCCTCCTCCAAATCAGCTGAGTGTGAAGGTGGAAACTTACGTCACGAACCACGGGGACCGGCACATCCTTCGACTTGATTATAGGCTTGGGTGGGGGAACATAGCTGAGGTAGGCATCGCTGACCGTCTCGAGTTCCCGGCGCTTCTGTTCATCCCGGGCGGATTTCCGGGTGGTTCGCTTGCGCTTTTGGCCGATACTGGGATCTTGCGGGTGGTACATCCCGGCGCTACCGTTGGAGCTACCCTGAGAACCCAGCGACGTAGGAGCAGTGGTATGCAAGGAGGTGGTTCGATCCGTCGAGAGAGAGTTGGAGGAGTTGTGTTGTTGCTGATGTTGCTGGTGCTGTTGGTGTTGTGGTTGTTGGTGGTTGTCTCCGTACTGCTGCGGGTTGATGGAGTAAGACGGTCGGTCATAGTAACCCATGTCGTAGGCGCTATCGATTCCGGTTCGTCGCCTCTTGCCTGCAGGCTCTGAGACCGAAGGTTGACCAGCCGATGTTGAGGCACCATGGAGAGGAGGCGGTGGTGGTGCCGCGGTCGCTTTGGAGCCATCGGGACCGGGGCTATCATCGATCACAATGACCTCCTTGGGGAGACCATTCTTGTAGAACTCACCCCAATCGGGTTTCTTGCGCCGGGAACCCTGCGACGGGGCAGCACTGGAGGCACTCGGCATGGAAGCCATGGCTGAGGGCGTCGAGGTCGCGGGAGGGACTCGCGCGGGCTGGGCGTAAGGGAGGGTTGTGGTCGTGGGTGAAGGTACCGAGTAACCGTAGGGGTTCGGCAGGCGAGCCCCTGCTGCGGCGGTGGTGGTGGTGGTGGTGGAGGCCGGATATGAGGTAGTCGCCTGATATGAGGAATGAGGATAACCGTAATGCTGGTGAGTTGGATGGGTTGCAGTGGCCGTGGAGGGCGTGGACATTTTGTGTACGGAGGAGTGCCGTCCGTCACACGAACGGTAGCGGGCGAAGGAGTCGCAGTCTTCAGTCCGATTGATCGCGGGGGGGATTGCCAGGAGGCGGACGAGACTCGGGGGGAGATTTAAGACTCAAATGGAGGGAAACAGTGATTCCCTCGCGAGACCCCGAAGGTATAGAGTTGGGGGAGGGAAAGGGGGAGGAGAGGAGAGGAGGGAGAGAGGCAGATCGGGAGTTCTCGTCGGGGCTTTGGGACGTGACAATGACGAGGCGGTCGGCAGGGACAGCACGGATCAAGCGAGACGCATTTCCTCGAGGATTCCGAAGATCAAGAGGAAGGGGGATGGAAGAAAGAGGTCATTGGGAAAGAAACAAGCGACATTGGGGGGAGGATTTGGTTGGGGGGGGGAGAGAGAAGAGGAGGGAAAAGAGGAAGAGGCGAAGTGATGATGCTGGATGGAGCGAAGAGCCGATCCAGTGGTGAGGGTGGAATGGAATGTACCTAGTATACTTGGTAGCCTTGGATTAGGGATACTAGAATATATTCTTTACTATATTCTATATTCTAGGAATATTCACTTTATCTCTTGATCTATGAATACCATGTCTATCTACAGTGTAGAGTACAGTAGTACTCTTACGTATACTACAGTATCACTAGCATATATACTATCTCGAGTTCACTAGCATGTATACTATACACTATACTAGTATATAGTATAGAGTAGATACTATCATATATACTTTTTTACTATACTAGATGTCTAGATTATTTCGTATTCCATATTTCATATTTCTCCCCCCCAATTCCATACTTATGTGCATCTCATCCCATCATCACCCTAGCCCTGGCTTAGCCGACCCCCACTGCGGACTCCCGTAGGAAAATAGAATCCTTAGTAGCAGGGGCTGTACACAGTGGATTTCAGTCATGTAAAGTGATATAATATAGTGAATATTAACAGAAATACTCCTAGGTATATTATTCCTTAACACTACACTTCTACTACTAGTATTACTACTACCATTGCTAGTACTTCTCTCATGCAGACTGCACCGGACCTGCGCGGCCGATCACCTGACTGGATGAGTCAGCGAGTGAAGAAATCAAGGAGTAATGAGGGAATTCATTAATTCGTTAATTGATTAATTGATTAATTGTTACTGTTTGAATGCGAAGTACTTGCTAATAACCTTAAAACCCATCAACTCATGAGCCTGGCAAGTTACTGCAGTGTCTCGGAAGTGCATCGCATCCACCTGCAAGGGCTGCAATGACGTGGGCTCCCCACAGCCTGAGTACCACCACCAGTAGTACAACAGCCAAATTCTATGCACCAGCCGAGATCAACATATACCCGGCTTGCCTTTCTCAGTGTTCCGTGCCAGTTGGAGCCCTGGGGAGGAAGGGCACACTACCTTAGCAGTTGTAGTATAGAGGGCGATATATATAGGTATATATTACTCCAGGGCTACTCCGAGTCCCTTCAACCTTGGAAGTTAGTACTAGTACCTACCAGACCCTGAAACACTAGAGTTCAACTTGAATGGATACATTTGGCAGTAGAAACACGTTGGAAGTATGTAGAAAATCTATTCAAGTCGCGGCATTGCAGGTGGCCCTGATTACTAGCCCGGAGAGCAGGTCGAACATCGGATGGATCCACATAATCTGGAGTCATCCCAGCTGTTGAGTGTAGTAATTAGTAGTAAGTACTACTACACCCTGAACAACCTTGGAATAAATTATTCCTAAAAATATGCCCGGCACTCGTCTCAGTCTACTTGCCCAATCTATTCATCCAATTTCCCGAGGCTCGATATCTTCAACATCTTTTAATTGGGCCACCTGAGCATGCAAGTACTACTTAAAATGAGCTTCATTTACAAATAGCCAAAAGCCGAGAAAGAGCCTTCAAATGAATTGTCAAGCTTTGTAGATTAAACAAAGAACAATTGAGATAAACCTTGACTTAAGAATTCGCGCCTGGACTACTCCGTAAATTGGAAGCAGACCAGACCAGCCTTAGTTCTGCTCTTCCCCCTTGTCTATTGTTGCTCGCTCCTAAACTGAACTGGCAAACTGTCTTGTCGCATTCATGGAATCTTCGAGGCTGATTCATTGGCCACGGTTGAATAATGTTGCTATCCCTGATACGGTTTCATTGAATACTCGTCGTGATGGGGACTGCGGTTGCTAGGGGCTAGCGCTTGGCCAATCTGAAATCCCCACGGAGTGTTAATTGCACTTCAAACTGGTCGCATCACCCATTGAATTCCAGGTTGGTAACAATTTTTCTCATCTACGGCCTGTCTCCCTTGTTTATGCCCTCACCCTTTCTCCGACCAGCGCTTGGGCCGCCAACAATTTCGGCAACGAAACGAAGCGAGCCATTGGAATGGGGCTGCATACGGAGTTCAGCCACCGTGAGCCTGGAACAAATTGTTGGTTGCTCGCTTTATCCTCCAACCAAGAGTGCGCAATATTGAAATACCAGTCATATAGGCGTATGCGACCTGCGATGCCCGCGCCTCATTGCCTTGATCAATGGCGCAGTGCTGAAAATGAGCAACACCCAATGATAGCCGAAGGAAGATCAACAGACCCTGGAGAGAGCGTCGAGGTAACCGTATCAACTGACAAAAATCATTCCCTTCAATGTGGGAGGTGGAGGTAATACATATACTAGTTATGCAGCTCACATCCACGTTTTTGGTACTATTGTCGGCGGGGAATCCATGCAAAACGTCCTGTCATTGATACGATACGAAGCAGATCAATCACTTCTAAAGTTAATATACCCGTACTCCATCCAGTCCATGCTATGAGTGGATGCTGTGACAACGCACAGGTCGCGCTCTCGCACATCGCGTTGCACCTGCGTCTGAACGCAATCGAGAATAAAGGCACTCACATCAACGGGAGACTCGGAGACCCGTCGAAGGAAGACTAACTGACTAGCTTCCCCACTCCAAACTGCATGATTCGGTCAGCCTGCGGAGGATGCGGATTCTCCCGTTAGAGGCAAAGTGGCCCCACAGAGTGCGTTGTGGTAGTTAGTGGTTGTCCTTTTGTCCTTGACGAGCCCCTCGCCGTTTTACAACTTTCGCTCTCCGCATTGTTCCAGCCTGTTTGACTCTAAATTGTCAAAGAAAAGTTGTTCTGATCGGGTCGGAGCACCTACTTGACCGCTAAAATGTCGGAAAAAATCGCTGTGGTGAGTGCACGCTTCTATTGAGTTGACTTGGAATAGACGCTGAACTGATTGCACCTAGGATCCCGATTATTATAAGGGGAAAGATGAAGTTGTCCCGAGTGATTTCGAGTCGTGAGTTGACCTTTGCACTGGAGAGAAAAGAGGCGAAATAAATAAAAGGAGAGAAAGATGTTATGTTTCGAATTTGGTTGGCTAAAGTGATCTTGTATCTCTAGGGAGACAACGTCGCTCTCCTCGACAATTTATAAAGGAATCATGGAGAACGGTCGCCGGTACCAGAATCTGAAAGAAGGCGAATACTGGTGAGATTCACGCATTGATACAATACGCGACTTTAAGATTTACTAAAACCTTTTGATAGGGGCCCCACCGACGACCAGCAGTTTGAAAGCTACGAAGCAGGGTGACTATCGCCAAGAGACACATACAGAACGAAGCTGATCACGATAGTCATCTAACCTATCTTGTGGTCGACTCGGACACTCCGAACCCGCTTTTTCAAGCCCCGGTTACCAACCCCAAGGTATGCATCTGCTAGAATTGGCCGCGAGGAAAGTCATTATGTTTCAGACACTGATCATAATCAGCATATTTTGGACGTTGGAACTGGGAGAGGCTCCTGGGCTATGTAAGTTGCAAAAACATGATTTGTTATTATGGCATTGTGATTATAATATTTGCTAACCGTTCCCCAATTGCTCAGCGATGCCGCCGACATGTTCCCGGATGGTAGGGTTCTCAGATCTTAGCTTCAACCTACGATGTTTTCTCTAATTATCACCAGCGACTGTCCGAGGAGTGGACCTCTACCCGCCGCCAGAGACATGGCTTCCACCTAACTGCATTATGGAGGTGGACGATGTACTCCAAGAGTGGACCTGGCGCGACCAGTTCGATCTTGTCCATCTACGTCAAATGATGGGTTCATTCACTATTCCGGAATGGAAAAAGTTTTACAAGCAGTGCTACGAGTAAGTCACTTTTATACCCGGCCCAAGCCGGTGGCCCGCAAGATCCCAATATTAACAAGATACACGAAAATAGTAATATCAAACCTGGCGGCTGGATTGAGCAAATGGAAGGCAACCCACGTGTCCGCTGTGATGACGGCAGCGTACCCGATGACAACAGTTGCCTCTTGTTCGGCCTGCAGTGCTGCGATGCAGCCGATAATTGGGGTCGCCCTGTCACATTGGCTGATAATATGAAGGAGGAATTGGAGAAGGCTGGTTTCGTTGATATCCATGTGAAGGAGTACAAGTGGCCGATTGGTGCGTGGGCTAAAGACCCTATTCTCAAGGAAGCTGGGAGACTGCACTACCACCAATGGACCTCTGGTATGGAGGGTTGGGCAATGTTCTTCCTTACAAAATATGGTGTTCCTGAGCCGTGGACGGTTGAGGAAGTTCAGGTTTTGATGGCAAAGGTCCGCAAGGAGATTCACAATCCTCGCCACCACATCTACCAGGTTGCGTAAGTGATACCAACCATTGTAATTATTTATGATATCAGCTGACACTTCCCAGGAGACGAGTTTGGGGCCGGAAACCAACGGCGGAAGAAGAGGAAGCTCGTGAGAAGACCAAGGAGACTGAGGCGAAGGGCAAACAGATCAAGGCGGAGCCAAAGGATAACTAAAAGCGAGCCTTCGTGTGACTGATTTAAACAACTTCCATGAACATAGAGCTCGCAATTTTCTTCCTTTATGTTTCAGTGCAAAGCCCCCGAAAATGATGTTGTAGGTATTAGCTAGATAAACACTCGAGTAGATTACCTTTGGCTATTGGGGGCTTCTATGCTAGTCATATGTCCTTTGAAATACTCCCGATAGCCGAATAAGGATTCAGGAAAAGCGGTTACGAGAATTATTTGACGAGAACTACGTACTAGGTAATCGGAGCTTTTTGGAGGGGGTTTCCGGCTCCATAGCTAAATTGCATAAGATATAGGACATAATATAGAATTACAAACATAAAGAATGAGCTGAAAATGTTCCATGCTCGTAGGCCTAGCCATTTAAGCCCGGAGCCCGCCGTCTATCCGTATTATCTCGCCGGTCATATAGCTGGCATCGTCGCTAAGTAGGACGGCGACCATCCGTCCAATCTCCTCAGGCTGCGCAATTCTTCTCATGGGCACCTGTTGAAGGAATGTCTCCACCGGAAAATTATCTGTAGCAGCCATAGGGGTATCAATCAAGCCACTAAAGCAATACAAGTTGAACCAGCGGAGCATTTCATAGTTGATCACGAGTTGATTGCTTACGGTGCGATTCCATTTATCCGAATACCTTTAGGTGCAGCTTCAAGTGCGGCGGTTCTCGTGATACCAATTACCTAGAAATGCTATTTCAGAAGATGTATAATTGCAACTAGGGGCTGACTTACTGCGTGCTTGCTGGGAGAATAGGCACCACATCCAGCGGCACCGTCGAGACCAGCCACACTGGTCATATTAACGATTGCGCCTCCGTTTTTCATGGCTTTCAGCTGGGCACGAAGGCATTTGAAACTATTCAATGGGATTCATTAGCCTTCAATAGCTAAATGTGAGCTGATTGATGAGACGCACACCCCGGCTGCATTGGTTTGCATCGTGAAATCCCAGTCCTCATCTGTTGTATCTTCTAGAAGCGTTCCCAATGGTAATCTTCGAACAGCACCTGCGATGTTTGCGGCACCATCTAACCTGCCAAACTCTTTTATTATGCTATCAGTCCACTGGTTGACGACTTCTGTTTTGCGGACGTCAACGGCATTGTAAGAAAGACGCTGGCCGGCAGATACTGGCTCAAGTTCTTGAGCGACTTTCTCGAGTGCCTCGAATTGCAAATCGCACAATGCAAGTGATGCGCCTCGAAAGTACAAAACTTTTGCCGTGGCCGCTCCTATTCCCGACCCGGCTCCTGAAAGAAAGGATTAATCTGTATTCTAATTGACCTAAGAGAAACATCACCCAATAGAACACGTCTTACCAGTGACTGCAAATACCTTGCCTTCGAACGTAGCCATGATTATTTCGAAGCTTAAATTTGAGAAGCAAAGATGAAGTGATGCCGATCGAAAAGATTCATCTGGCTGGCTTCCCGCTTTATAAGTTTAGAAAAAGCGACCTCTATTGCCAGTGCGATATCTAGAAATATCGGTCAAGAATCCCTGAATGAGTAGCCTCGAGCTCCACAGGTCATCAGTACTTTCACGGATTGGTTTATCCTAGTAAGCTGACCATAAAGTTGATCGAACTATACTTTCGATTGGCTGCCTCAGTCAGATTACCCCAGCCAGCCGGAATCGGGCACTTACCCAAATGAGGCAGTGAACCATTTATAACCTTATTAATAGTATCATACGTGCAAACTAATACACACGAAAGCAAATAACTAATTCAAGTCCTTTGTCCGTTCCTCAGGAAGGTACTGGGTAGTTCACCGTGGGACTGCCTTATCCCCGATCTAGAGAATGACAGAAAATGACCCCGCCCAGCCTCGGGTTTGAGTGATTATTTGGATAATTTCAAACGTTGATTATGATGCGACGCCCCACTATGAGAGTCCGAATCTCAAGGAAGTCAAGAATGTATGTTACTTCGATGATAAAACGGCTTGACCTTTTTACTTCCGATTTGGAGCCTGGAGATAATTGGGCAACAATCCTTTATGCACCTCATGTCTAGGCAACTGTCACAGTCAAATGCTTCTTTCCGATGCGGGGGGAAGTTTCCGTCGGACATTCTCTTTGATTCCTGGCAGTTGGAAAGTAAACAACACGGCCTGGATTACGTCAGTGCAATGCCCTCCCAATATGAAGATACCAGGACTTCTCGCCCATCAGGCTCCAAAGTGCCTGAAGTCACTCTGACGGGTCCGCAAGGGGCACTCATGGTCGTGCTATTGACATACAACGGGTCCCCGTTCAAAGACCACTGGGCATATTTCGTGGAATCACGAAGAGATCCCGAAGTCGGAGTGATGATACAAGCGAATGGAGATGTGTTGAATGGATTTTCAGTTGAGATTGATCGCAACCATGACTTGCGATCTGCTCATAAACAGCCAAATGCTAAAATTCCTCTTCAATGGGTGGACGGAGAGCACTTTGACGAAAAGGCAATGTTCAACAATGGCCAACACATCACTGATCAAATTTCTCGCTGTCACTTCGAGGATAGCGCTTGCAAAATGAATGCTCCCAGTAAAAGCCTGAATGCTGTTAATGAAATGGTTAGTTGCACCTTGCCTGTTCAGCCATTCGTACTTGGATTCATTGCTTGTTTTGAGTCGAAGCTATAGTTTGTCCTCATTTTTATCGGGTTGAATTGCTTCAAGAATCGATTTTCAAGGCTTCTCCTCGCTGCTCCTTTTTGAGTTGCTCCCGAGCCATCCCAATGCATGTCAAACTAACATGTCTTCTAGCTGACTCCCGGCAAGAAGATAGTACAGCGCAACTGTCAAACATGGATTGTCGAGTCTGCCGAGCAACTTCTGAAAGACAACATATCCAGTGAAGAAGTTGTTGCTTATCTACACGCGACTAAACAATAGCTGCGCATGGTCGGACAGTTGGGAAGAAGTTGATGTTCAATCCGGGAAAGGGGGAATCGATATTATGTTTGGATCACAGCAAGCTCTGCAAATGAATATCGAAGCACATGTCGAATTGAATAGGGGTTCGAGTATTGATGTTCAATCAACCGAGTCGTATGTTATCCAGTAATTAAACTCACTGCACTCGCTACAACGGATTCCTTTCTTCCGGCTCTGTGGCGTGGTTAAAGTGGAGACATGGGCGCATTGATCTGCCAGAGGTAGGTATTCCCCGTTGCTGTTAGTTGACCATAATGGTGTCGGTCGCAGCTATAGATTTGATAGCAACTTTCAATCTAGGATACAGTAGAGACGTTTCGTATACTAAGTAAGTGCAAGGACGGGAAGTATGGGGAAAAATCAATGTGGAAGAGGATATTTGCGTGTGGGTATTTGCCCGTAGGGATTGCCCGCCGCAATGCTCAGGTGTAGGTATTCTCCAGGTAGGGATTCACCGGGTGGGTAATCGCCATGAGGCATCCATCCCTATTCAAATTATATAAAAGGGAGACCCTGCCCCATAGATCTGCGAGTTATTCACCCCAGAAAAAGATCACCGCCATAATGGATGTCTTCCTCGACGTTCTTGACACTTTCGTGTTTGATCGATTCTACGCTTCCATCGCCCCTGATCATTTCACAGGAGCTAATAACTCCACTTTATTTGCCCAAGATCCTAACTTAAACCGGCATGTGAGGGTTTATTATCCCCTGGAGCCATCGCAATGGGCAGAGTCCAGTGTTTGGAAGCGTGATGATATCGCCAGACAGTCGTTTTCTTTGTTTCTGATTGCATGGTAAATGACACTCTATCACGGCACACACATTGACTATTGAATGATACTAATACTTCACTCACAGGGTCTTTGCTATGATCATGTACCTCGTCGGAAGTCTCATTCTATACCACACAATATTCGACAAGCGATTACTTAAACACCCACGATACCTCCCGAACCAGATTCAACTCGAGATTAAACAGGGAATATCGTCAATTCCAGTCATATCAATTCTTACTGTCCCCTTTTTCCTTGCTGAGATACGGGGATGGTCCAAACTATACGATTTCTCGAGCGAGGCTCCGTTCTGGGGCTACACCTACCTCCAGTATGCACTGTTCATCTTCTTCACGGATAGTGGTATCTACTGGATTCACCGGAGCGAGCATCACCCCAGTGTCTACCGCTGGCTTCACAAGCCGCATCATAAGTGGGCTGTTCCAACCCCCTTTGCCAGCTATGCCTTCCATCCACTGGACGGTTGGGCGCAGAGTCTCCCCTACCACATATTCCCGATGCTATTTCCTCTTCAGAAGTGTGCATACCTGGGACTATTTGCATTTGTGACAATGTGGACAGTGTTTATTCGTAAGTGTCCTTCCAACATTGAAGTCGAGCAATGGAGGAAAATTCTAACCTTGATCAGACGATGCCGAGTACGTGGCATCATCAGTGATTATAAATGGAGCCTCGTGTCACACGATGCACCATTTGTATTTCAACTACAACTATGGTCAATTCCTGACATTCTGGGATCGTGTAGGAGGAACCTATCGCACACCGAAGGGCGATGCCTTTATGGAGGCAAATGAAAAGTCTGCACTGGCGATGAAGAAGAAAGCCTGAAGCTGTCTTTGTTAACGAGCGAATGTTCAATTCTGCAATAATAATAATAGTAATATTTATGCCCTTCATTCATTAAGCATTGCGATAGCATGATTGTATAAAGTCGTTCAGTGTCCCTAGTTCGTCAGTAGCATTGCTCTCGAGATACGCAAATCCTGTTTCTGGCTTATCAGAAACCTCTAATGTAGCTTTCAATAGCCACCACAACTCCTCGGCATGTTTCGGATATCCGAGATGAAGGATTTTCTCTTGCTCCGCTCCAACCAAGGAGTCCCAAATTCGTTTCCAGTTGCCAGCGGCTCGGCTGATGGCATCAAGCGGAAGGTATTTGAGAAGACCAACCCGAGCTTGGAATGCCAGGGAGTTGATAGCTGGAAATTAAATTAGTTTTGCGTTTGGATAAAATATCTTCAGAGTAAAATGTTACCGTATATCAATATCAAGAGATGCTCAGATGAAAGCGAGAGACCCCATGGTATTGAATCTTCGGTGGTTGGGGTGTCAAGCAGTTGGGTAACAACTTCTTTGAGGGGCGGAAGTGATTTCTCAGTCGGATTCATCGTAACAATTCTGCTGAACGCAGATGCACTCTCGGCCTCCCAAAGCTCGGCGCTCCAAGGGAAATCACAGTTCATTTCAAATATCGATAGCGACGGGTGGCTTTTGAAGCAGACAGTGAGAAAGCCGTCCGCGAGAAAAACCCAACATGCAATTCTGTGAATGTTCAGCAAATGTAAGATTGAATCGGTTTCATCGATTGCGAATCCTACCGTATACACATTTCCTCTGCTACCAGTATTCGCCATGTTGGTTCATCGCATGTCTTTGGGGGCGTTCGCCGCTTTAACTGGAACATACCCAATGATCTGATGGTAGAGACGAGACACGGGTTACGGACAATCCGAATGCGCCTCCTCGTCAGCATATCATCTCTTCCAAATTGTAGCATTTCGATGATAAGAGCACTCTGTATTAGCTGCACGGTTGGCAGAAGAGCAAAAGAGTCCTTGGGTGGGGGCGTCGCGGGTAAATTTGACACTTTTCGGAAGATATACTCTTCAGCCACATCAAGAAGCCATGGAGACATGGATGCCCTGTCAAGTGGGGCTGTATACGCTGCTCCTGCCATGAAAATTGCAAGAAGCAAAGGGTTGGATACATTTCCAGGGTCGAATGTAGGAAAGTGAACGATTGGCAGGTGCCAGTGAAGAGAGTGGAAGAAGGCTGAAATAAAAGCAGATATATTTGACACTCCTAGGAGAGAGGTGAGCTCCATAATGTCGAGTGTCTCTGGTCGACTGGCATCTGAGGGTGTCATGGATTTGGATGTCTCAACCAACTCGGTCATAATCTCAGTAAGTTGATTGGAAAGCCTTGATGGGAAGAGAACTTCGTGCGGATATTGAGTTAAAATCGATTCATCCGCACTTGAAGCCATCTGAAAAGGCAAGTCGGTAATTTGGAAATTGCCCAGGGGGTTTGGTGTAGGGTCAGTGGGCATCAGCGCCTCTTCTAGGCGCGAATAGAGGGTTTCAAGGTTCCTTCGCAAGGAGTATTTGGCGGTTTCACCTATTGCAAGTCGATCCTTTTGAATTGTAGGATTTGCGAAATGACGAAGGAATGAAAATGGGCCGCCGCTTTCGGACGCGTCGGCCGAGGGTATTGCAGTTGGTGAGACTGAGACGTTGGATACCGAATTGATAGTAGGCGCCCCTTGGGTTGTAAAAATGCACTCCCGCCCGAGGGAGATGCATCGCATACATGGAAGATTATTATCACAGGCGGCTTTTGTAGAGAAACATAGATCGCATGACTGCCTTTTCCTGCCTGGTTTTGCGGCAACAGGCGGAGGTTGGTTATGCTTTTTTGCGCATACTTTGCTGTGTCTTCGAGTGACCTCTCTGTCAATAGCTCAGAAGAGGTTAGTTAAAATCTTTTCCATGTTTGATGAAGCGTATTTAAGCTGTTGAACGCACGGTTTTAAGAAAGATTTATTACAGAAGGGGCAGCTGGAAGCAAGCTGACGAGAATCTGAATCCGTTAGTCTAGTTCAAGTCATCCAGGAAAGGTGAATTTTTGGAAATTACGGGTGGCTTGATGGCGCAATAAATGGGGTTTCCTTTGATATGACTTTTCACATTGCGAGCATTGAAACATGATGTTGTAGGAGTATATTGGAGTTGGATTTCAAGTGAAGTTCGGGAATGTCGGGGGAACAAAAGGTCAACGTGAGAAAGCCAGGGATGGCACTACGCCCAAAGAGGAAGGCCGGGACTGTACCACCCGGGCGGACTGATGAGATTGGAGGAATATCGATATAATTCTACATATTTGGTAATACGTGTAGCTTGTAATATTAAACGTAGTGATATATTAAGGTATATGGTAGATTTATTCTAAGATTGTTCAAGTTCTAGTAGTTTGCATGACTTAGTGCATTCTGAGCCGCCTGCATTTCATCATCGGTAGGCATATTAACGATCGCCAGATACATTACTTCCTATGAAAAATTAGTTACTACCCTCAATCAATATCCCATTCAAAAACATTCGGAACACGTACCTTTTTCAATAATTTTGAAAGTGGGTTGGTCGACCCTCTCTCTTCTCTCCGGTCGGGTAGCGGACCTTGAGGTGCATAGTAGCCATTATTTGAGTTATAGTACGTATCTTGTCTCGTCATCCGATCGGTATTGGCAGCCTGAGGGTTTCGGATGTCTTTGATTGCACTGATCGCTTCAAATAATCCAAATGGGCTTCCATGGGGGGCATGTGGAGCTGGCGCATTGGAATTTGAATTCTCCCGACTCTGGTAGTAGTGATCTTGCCCTCCTCGTTGACCCCGCTCCTCAAATTGAGATTGTGGAACTTGTCGCCGTGGCAAGTCCTCCATAGTGAAACGACCTCCGCTCACGAGAGCGAGTAGATCTCCGCTGCTCGCTGGATGATTTGGGTCGGCATACCGGGACGTAAAGACTGGCTTGGGGCCTTGATTCAGTTGACTGGTGGGATTTTCAGCTGTCTAAAAGGTTGTCAGCGTGTGCATAGGTACTATTAGTAGATACCACTAATTCAAGCACTCCTTATACTCACAAATTTAGCCTGGGCTCTTTTATCTAAATATCCACCGACGAATTCTTTTCTTCGCTTCATTTTAGATAGCTTCTTTCCCGCATTTTGATCCGATGCGAGTCGATCAATTTCGGGGAAGATGAGCGGAGCCACTTCAGGAAAGATATTGCCGTATGCCTTTCCATCTGACGACTTAAAGCGATGACGAAGTCGACCGAGTGTGTTCGAACCTTGGGTACTGGCACTGCCGGCGGCGTTGGAAACGAGCGAATTCAAATCCACGGCCGTGGAGGGAGCATCCGGCAGCTCAGGATTCCATGTCATCACCAGACAGTACAGGCCACGGGGCCGAAAGAATTCCCTGTTCACTTTATCGAAGAAGGAATTGGTCCTGAGACGCTTGCTGGTTAATCATCGAGACAATACATAAACATCATTTACTGGGAATCTCACTTTCGGCGACCATCGGCAGCAATGGCAACATCAGTCGCAAGCTGGATAGCAATCGAAACAGCAATGCCGGTGACAGTTGGCAGCCACATAGTTCCAATAGAAGCCAAGTTGATGGCATTTAGCCACGGGGCTGCTTGACAGGATTTCTCGGCCGTGTCCAGGAAATCGAGGAACATGTCTTGATCAATACCGCAATCACCCAGAGTGGGTGCATATGCCCGAATAAAGCCTCGATCGCGATCTTTAGGTCGTTTCTGAGGGAGCACGACTGGTGCTGACAGCTGCCGCCGCGGAGACTGGTCATATAAAGAGTACGGCGGGGGTGCTGGGTGATCCGAAACAAACCTTTGTGCCAGATCAGCTTGATCGACGTCCTTTTGAGACTTTCTTTCCTTTTCGACATTGGAGTTGGAAAACGTGTGTGAGAGTTCTTCCTGTGCCTCATCAAGGGCCCACTGCCCTTCTAGAGTGTCAATGCCGGTGGAGTTGGGGGCTATTTGGTCCGCTGTTGACAACTCATATATCGGAGGGCTACCACTCTCGACTGGCATATCATTGCTCCTAGGAGTTTCTTCCATGGGAGACGGAGACCGCTGTTGCTTCTTTAATTTATGTGCCGATTTTGCTTCGGAGACGAGTCCGATTCCTGCTGCAAGACCTTGCAAGGCCTTGCGACCAATACTAGTGCTGGTAGATGTCGACATGAGTAAAATAAGTAAAATAAGGAGGAATGTGTTAATAAAAATTTGAACTTGAAGCTGTTGTATTTTAATAAAGAAGCCAAAGGAAAGCAGGCTTTATATACCACTCCTGGTTGATTGAAAATAACTTTATTTTCATAGTACGTCGAGACTGCCATACACGGTATGCTGAAAGTGAGCCTTAAGGTATGATTGAGATTGGGGCGCATGGTTAAGTTTTGAGTAACCCCCATTATGCACTGCGAATTTCATTGGAGCAACCTGGGAACAAGCTCAGCCCTAAGTGGTTTCGGTCTTGCACTGCGCCACCAACCGGTGGAAGCTTTGGAGTCATCATGGACTATCACGAATCCGGTAATCACTGCGAGGGAAATAATTACCACTTGCGGAGGGTACTTGTACTCTATTTTTGTTTTAGATCGAATGAGGGACTGTTAAGATGTTTAATATGTGTGAAATGCACCAAGACAGATATCGACCTGGTTGACTTTGTGAATTCCAATCAATTTACTACTTGAATCATTACTGACCGGTTACTAGTAGCACCACATGAAAAGTACGCAAGGTGATGTACCCAAGATAGATACGGAAAACTTGAACCACAGCATTTCATGGTCACCTCTATCATTCATAATTGATGCTCAAATCAACCCAAAAAAAAGAAGAGAGAAAAATCGAGGAAAACATGCCAGCAACCCCGCGTGCAAACCTCTCAACGCCATGAACCGAATTCGCGCAGCCAATGCAAAGAACTCCTGCAGTTCGAGGAGGACCCCCCGCCGGAAGATGACCCAAGAGTACAAATTAGACAAGAATGGGAAAAGAAAATAAAGTAAGATTACAAGGGGAAAGGCGATGGTCAGGGCGCGCGGTCCTCCTTTGGGTCTTTCGAGTAGCCCTTTTGCACATGTTTGGTGCCTCGCCCATCCGCCTCCAGCATGAAGAGAATATCGCGAACCTGGATCCCAGCTCCCTTTTCTTGGTCCTCCCTCCAAGTGCCCAGGCGACGCTTGGATGGACCAGCCGCGGGTTCTCCTGATTTGCCGGTCGACGATTTCTCTGGCCCGGGAGTCGGTGTGGGTGGTGCAGGCCGGGATGGAGATGAGAAACCGCTCGACGAACCACCAGGTTTTAGCCATGAATAGGACTTCTTAGCGCCGAACATGCGACCCGAAAGCATGCTGTTGGTAGCTAGACGGGCCGTTTCGACGGACTGTTGATGCTGTTGAGCCTCACTGGCTTTGTTGTCCATCATCTTTCTGGCTTCTTTCTTTGTCATTGACTTTTTGTCAAAGCTGGGTGCGCGTTCGCCAATCGGGGTGGAAGGCGCCGACCCAGTGAAATCGCCCGCAGTGGTTTGTATGCTAGCACCTTCGCCTAGGATTGCATTCGTGCTTCGCTTTGTGCGCTTTGCAGCTCGTCGGTTTTCAGAAGACGTTTCCTTTCCAACAAGGCCACGGTATCTATCTGCGGTCGGCTTGGTGGAAGGGGTATCGCCGTCTGTGCGAGGGCCTGGAGAAATCAAAGAAGGTCAGTATTATGGTCGGTCCACTATAGGGCCAAGGACAATGCATACGCTTGGAAGGTGTGGAGGTGTTGCCATTAACAGGGCCGAGCGGCTGAGCGACATCTTGCCATTCTGCGGGGACAACACCGTGTGAGTGTGCTCGGCGACTGCGAGCAAGAGTGGAGGAGTAGTCGATGACCCCGCGCAGTCGCTCCTCGCAGGAGAGAGACATGAGATTCAGTATGTCAACCAAAGGAGCCCCCTCCTGGTTCAAAATTGTCTGACCCGTGCGAACCACCGATGACCCGTCGGGCCCAGTCACCTCGATAGGCTGAGGCCGACCGGGAACTGGGTGAAACAGACCCTCGGAGGGAATGCGCACGCCTAGCTCAAAGCCGCGCTTCTGAATCCGTTGCTCCAGGAGTTTTGCGAAAAGGAAGGGCTCTTGCAAATGATATTGCGAGCGCCTTGCTGCTTCACTGTCCTCACGGGAAGGCTCCTTGATCGTGGATGGGGTTTGCGATGTGGGCTCCGTAGAGAATGATCCTTGCGCACCTGCCGGCTTGGCGTGGGTCAAATCGTTAAAACTGCTAGACGCAGAGAGTGTTCCAGTTGTCGTAGCTTGGGAAGTGAACGATGTGTTGATTGGGGGTGGCTGTTGCATCTGGGGGGCCTCGCGAGGGCGTCTGCGTCTGCGCCTGTCGCCCAGGGAAGCTGTTTGTGAGAAAAGCTTCTTCCTCCCTGACATCAATACCCGATGACGCCAAAACATCCGTGAGCTCTGAAGCATCCACTGGGCGTGATGGTGGAACTGAAGGAGGGCCCATCGTGCCTGGAGCTCCTGGAGGCGGAGCAGCTTGCTGCGCAATTGGTGTGGCAGGCATGCTGTTTGGTGCCATACCCATACCGTTCATGGGCGGTTGATTCTGTGGAGGTAGTTGCATCGTGTTGAAGCTCGGCGAGGCATACGGGGACTGTGAGGTAGGATGTGGAGATAGACCAGTTTTTTTCACGGGTGGAGGAATGCCCCCGTTGACTGGAGAGGCCGAGTGAGGGGAGGGCGAGGCGACGGGAGGGGAGAAAGGTTGGTTGTTGAACTGCGGTGGCGGCTGCTGTTGCTGCTGGGGGTGTCGTGTCTGCGCCATGGTGAATAAAGTAGTGAATGATCAACTGGGAGAAAGATGTCGACTATTGCGCAGTCCCAGAGTGACGGCACGTCCACGCGTGGTCGTTGAGATGAGCGATTTGCTCGCACCACCAAACGTCACCAAATGTGACCATCTCAGAATCGCGGTTAAAACATAGAGTACACGCGCCAGACCATGTGAAATCGAGGCGAAAGTGAAGTTGGTGAGTGATGAAGTGATGATTTGAAGGAGAGGGAGGGGGGTTTTAGGGAGCTTTGCTGGAGTTTGCTGGCGAGCGGCTGCTCCGCGGATCGCGCTTCCCACGTGATTTTGGCTTAGGTCATGCCGCGCGCCTGTCGAAGCTGCGAAGCTCCTTCTTGTCTTTCTCAGAGGGTGTTCCCCATACTCTCCGCTTTTTTATCAGTGAATCAGTGATGGTGGTGTTTTGCAATTGATTTTATTCAAGCTGTGACATATACGCGACCAAGGCAAGGCCCGTCTGGAGACTCGCCCACCCCGATTATCGATCTCGCGAGCAGTCACCTTTGATCATCACTTGAAAACCCACGAACAACCAACGCTGCCATGGCAGCAAAGCGCAAAGCTTCAGCGATGGGAACGGCTGTCGATGATGAGCCGGTTGATCCCTCTGACGAGCTGGCGTTTTACTGCTTGGGTGGAGGTAATGAGGTCGGGCGATCATGTCATATCATTCAGTACAAAGGGAAGACGGTCATGGTAAGTTTTCTGGTTTCGATATTGCGCAGATAGAACCAACAGACTAACGCTCCATACTTTTCTAGCTTGATGCAGGCATGCACCCAGCCAAAGAAGGATTCTCGTCCTTACCCTTCTTTGACGAATTCGATCTGAGTACCGTCGATATTCTTTTGATTAGCCAGTACGTGACTCACTCCACTCCGTGGCCTTGTCACCACCCATTGCTTTCGTTTGGCGATCACAGTCGAGTTATGAGGCTTGGACACTTTGTGGTTCTAGAGGCTGCTCTTGCATTCATGCTTCCTACGATCTATCGTTGAGGTCTTCGATCTTTTCAAAACTTCTTCTTGTGATAAGCTTCCCCGATGTGCTGACATGTCATTTCTATAGTTTTCACGTTGACCATTCCTCTGCTCTGCCATATGTCCTCAGCAAGACAAATTTCAAAGGCCGAGTTTTCATGACACACGCAACGAAAGCCATCTATAAATGGCTAATCCAAGACAATGTTCGGGTTAGCAACACCTCTTCCTCTTCAGACCAGCGAACCACCCTGTATACCGAACGCGACCATCTCTCTACCCTTCCTTTGATCGAAACAATCGACTTCAATACCACACACACTATCAACAGCATCCGCATCACACCATTCCCAGCGGGTCACGTTCTGGGCGCAGCAATGTTCTTGGTATCAATTGCAGGTCTCAACGTCCTTTTCACAGGCGATTACTCTCGCGAAGAGGATCGCCATTTGATCCCTGCCGAAGTTCCAAAAGGCATTAAGATCGATGTCCTCATTACAGAATCCACCTTCGGAATTTCCTCCAACCCCCCGCGGTTGGAACGCGAAGCCGCCCTTATGAAGTCAATAACAGGTGTTCTCAACCGCGGAGGTCGCGTGTTGATGCCCGTTTTTGCCTTGGGACGTGCTCAGGAACTGCTTTTGATTTTGGATGAATACTGGGAGACTCACCCTGAGCTGCAAAAAATCCCCATCTACTACATCGGTAACATGGCCCGACGATGCATGGTTGTATACCAAACCTACATCGGTGCGATGAACGATAATATTAAGCGTCTTTTCCGACAACGCATGGCCGAAGCCGAAGCGAGCGGGGACAAGAGTGCGACCGCAGGGCCATGGGATTTCCGCTTTGTCCGCAGTCTGCGCAGTCTCGAACGTTTTGATGACGTCGGAGGCTGTGTGATGATTGCTTCTCCTGGTATGCTGCAGACTGGAACCAGCCGTGAACTACTAGAAAGATGGGCACCGAGCGAACGCAACGGAGTTGTCATGACGGGTTACAGTGTGGAGGGTACAATGGCCAAGCAATTACTCAACGAGCCAGATCAAATACCGGCCGTCATGTCCAAGGTCTCCACTGTTCAGGGCCGAGGAAGGGTCCCGGGCGGTAATGACGAAGACCAGAAGGTCATGATTCCTCGGCGCTGCACGATCGACGAGGTCAGTTTTGCAGCTCATGTCGATGGTGTTGAGAACCGAAACTTCATTGAGGAGGTCGCGGCACCGGTTGTGGTAAGTCTTTGCGCTGTAGTTGATGAGGTGTGAATTCATGTGCTGATACATTTAATAGATCCTTGTCCATGGCGAGAAACACCAGATGATGCGATTAAAATCCAAGTTGCTCAGTCTTAACGCAGATAAAACTGTCAAGGTCAAGGTTTATACACCAGCCAATTGCGATGAGGTTCGCATCCCTTTCAGAAAGGATAAGGTTGCAAAGGTTGTTGGCAAACTTGCGCAGGTTCCTCCCCCAGCTGGAGAGGATGATAGTCAGCTCATGGCCGGAGTTCTGGTTCAAAACGGATTTGACCTATCACTGATGGCCCCTGATGACCTTCGAGAATACGCAGGCCTGACAACAACGACAATCACCTGCAAACAACACCTCAGCCTCAGCTCCGCCAGCATGGATTTGATTCGATGGGCTCTTGAAGGTACCTTCGGGGCCATTGAAGAGGTGGGATTGAATTCAGAGACCGAGTCTGCGACAAAGGAAGAAAATAATGACGAGCTCGACGAGCAAAAGCCAAAGAAAGAGCTCGCGGATGAAGAGATTCCCGCAGAGGAAACGCAGACTTTCTTGATCATGGGCTGCGTCATCCTCCGATATCATTCACGCACTCGGGAGATTGAGTTAGAATGGGAGGGAAATATGATGAATGATGGAGTTGCCGATGCTGTTATGGCTGTTCTTCTGACAGTTGAGAGCAGTCCTGCTTCAGTGAAGCGTGAGCACCCAACACCATCAATAATGTATCCTGATCGTGTCTGCTAACAATCATTACAGAATCGGCGAAGCATAACCATCACCATCACCACCACCACGAAGAGGATGCCCCTTCCCTGCCAAATCCTCACTCTGACTTTAGTGTTGATGAGCGACTGGACCGTCTCTTGATGATGCTGGAGGCGCAGTTTGGCTCTGAAATATCTCCCATCGAGAAGCCACGAGTCCCTGCTAAGCTCGCGGTGGGCAACACCGACGGGACTGATACTATAAAGGCGGAGGATATCAACGAAGAGCGCATTGCGGATATTGAATCGGCCGAGTTGGACCGTTTACATGCCTTGGGAATCCCCATTCCGGGACTCGAGATCAAGGTCGACAAGCATGTTGCGCGCGTGTGGCTTGAGAACTTGGAGGTCGAGTGTGCCAATATAGTGGTTCGCGACCGTGTGCGTATTGTAGTTGAACGCGCAGTCGAAACCGTCTCTGGTCTGTGGGCAACCAGTTCTATGCCTCGCGAGGTCGTGGTGCCTAACGGGCCAGTCAAAGGCCAAACGGAGATGGTCACTGCTCTGAAGAAGGCACAAGCCATCGAGGCCTAAGGTTGATTCATAATCTTTGTTCTTTGTACGATACATAATGGGAAACACTTGTCACGGAAATACAATTCAAATTCTTCATGACCTACTATCCTCCCATGGTGGGTGGGATAATCGATAAAGATAAAGTCATTCTAAATGTTTATGTGAAGATTTGAGCACCATTTCCAGGTCTCTTTCGCGTTCATTCTCTCACAAATTGCCTGTCATTTAGTTGTTTTTAGGATAGCCTCAAATCACAAGTCTAACTCTTCAAGTACAGCTTTCACCACTTTCCCAAAGATATCTACAATAATGTCGATCTCCTCCTTGGAGACATTGTAAGGAGGTGCAAGTATGACATGGTCACCCCGAATGCCGTCAACAGTGCCTGGGCAGCCGTAGAGAGAAACGGAATATGCTGGTAGCAATCCTTTTTCCTGTATATGAAACGATAGTCGAGTGCTAGGATCGAATGGTTCTTTTGAACTCTTGTCTTTGACAAACTCAATCTGTAAAGCAAACTGATTAGCATGACCGCTCAACAATTTCCGGATGGAGAAAACTCACTCCCCAGAATAATCCCTTGCCTCGGATGTCACCAACATACGGGTGCCCTTCAAATCGCTGGCGGAGCTGTTGCTCAAGGTAAGCGCCCATAGATCGAACGTTGTCTAGGAGAGACTCCTGTTGAATGGTCTTCTGTGTAGCCAACGCCGCGGCACATGAAATGGGGTGGCCCTGATATGTTTGTCCATGGCGGAACACACCTGTTCCCTTATCCATAGTCTGCACGATTGAATCATTGATGAGGATTCCAGAGACGGGTGCATATCCGCCTCCAAGACCTTTGCCGATAGTTTGAATATCAGGCACGATGTCCTCTTGCTCCCAGGCATGCAGAGTTCCACATCGACCCATGCCGCTCATAATTTCATCAAGGATGAACAGTGCTCCATGCTTTTCACAAACGGCCTTCATGGCAGGGAAGTATCCTGGCACTGCAGGAACACAGCCGAGAGCCTAAGCAGCAAAAGTCAGCTGGGATTGAACTTGAAGCTCGCCACCCCGTGGTTAACTTACAGCTCCAACAACTGGCTCTGCGACAAAGGCACAAACAGTATCTGATCCAACACGCTCAAACTCTGTATCCAATTCTGCAGCAAGGCGAGCAACATAGTCCGCATCAGATTCGCCTTCTTTCTTGCCACGGTATGCGTAGCATGGAGAAACATGAGATATGTTCTTCGCTAAGATTGGTTCAAATGGCTCTCTTCGGAGGACATGTCCACCGAGGCCTAGAGCACCGAGGGTCGTACCATGATATGAGGGAAGTCGAGCAATAAATCTCGTGCGTTGAGGCTGAGGAGTAGGCAGCTCCAGGAAATACTGTCGTGCAAGCTTCATGGCAGCTTCGACAGCCTCAGATCCTGTACTCAGTACTAGTTAGAAGTGATGTTCCGGGGTGATATACCGAGTAGATAAGTAATAGGGACGGTGACATGCCTGAGCTGACGACAAATAGTTTAGACATCTTGCCCCCAGTCGAATCTGTCAAGAACCGTGCTAGTTCTTCTGTTACAGGAGTACCGAAAAAGGCGGAATGGCAATATGACAATTGATCGATCTGGTCTTTGATCGCTTGCTTGACTCCTTCATGGCCATGGCCCAAGCATGAAACGGCTGCGCCGCCGGTCGAGTCAAGGAATTTAGTACCATCTTCGAGAAAAATATAGCTCCCTTTGCCCCCAATGGCCTGTTTAGGAATGAAGTGGGTGTCTCTATGCAGAACAGCACTGGACATGCCGGGATGCGCTTCTACATTTGTTAGTGAGTAGAATGGAAATGTATTTGTTGATATTTCATACCGGAAAGTGTCATATCGACAGTTTAAAGGTCCTTAAAAATTGTTAAAAATTGAAGGGGTTGTATGGTGATGAGAATACAAAGTTTGAACCAACCTGGAGATTACACGCTCTTATGTACCAATGGATTTACGAAGACCCGAGGCAATTCATTGCGGGGCAAGTGGGCTCGGGATGCCGAGCCCGGGGAAGCCGATCCGACCATTGGTTAAAGTTCAGGCACATTCCACTTTTTCACTCTTATCAACGCATACTGATTGAAGGACAAGCTGCGGAGTAGTCATTGTAGTGGAGACTTTCTCCCTGCGCATGCCTAATTGGGCTGATACGATGAGTCAAGGACACCGTGCGTTTCGGCAATGCTGCGATGTCCCAGCTCCACTCGCATGGCCGTGTTTGGCTACAAATCTCGTACAAGTATCTTGTATAGAGTTTGAATTTCGAACTTCGAAATGCACACCCCGAATTTAGTAATCGGTTCAGCAATTGAGATATTTTGATCTCCATATACAGAGATTGAAGACAGTCTATACTCGTATACTATTTGCCATGCCCCGCAGACTGAGGGAAGGCGGTCAAGCCCGCTTTATGCCGTTCATCGGACGGAAGTCTCCTTCTTCCATTTCACATCTATATAAGGGTGGAATATTCAAAGGGAGGAATGATTCCTTTCTCGGCGAGATACGAATAGATGGATGCTGGTCCATCCGAGTCAAGCGGTGCAGCGGTGACACACCGGATTGGTCAGGCATGGTACGCGATATCCCAACCTCCGCAGAGAATGTAATAGCACAGCAAGAATTAACAACTTCCAATTTAGTGATCGTTGCAGAAAGTGAGATAACGAAATTCTGAAGTCTCACGTCCCATTAAAAAAGCTAACTTTTCCCTCAATTAACAAGGAAGAAGTTAAAATGCGATGGAGCTTCCCCCATCGTATGCTCTGGCTCTCGTTTTCTGGACTCAGTTCTCTCGCTAACCGAAGGCGGCAGTGTCGAAGATGTGAGACAGGAGGTCACATATGCGAAGTCTCCACTACTCTACGAAGAAAGACCAAAGTGCGAGGGTAAGTTCAGTGTAACCGAATCTCACATTCACCAGCTAAATTCTTCAACAGATTCACTTCCGATGAACAGCGTCTAGAGCAGCTTCAGACAGAGCTGGCGAAATGTCAACAGTTACTTCAATCGGAGAAAGCTAGAAATGACTTGTTACAAGAGGATATATCTCGTCAAGAGCGGACCAGGATACCGGAAGATGTAATCGCTCTCGGGCCAGCCGAAACAGCCGTAACCCACAATGCTGAACGGCGTTCGACTGATGATCCGGCATTTGTGATCAAGCACATGGGTCGACTTGTTCACGACAAAAATGGTATCGGTCGATTTGCAGGCTCAACTACCGGCGTTCATTTTGTTCTCAGCGTGGAGAAAGAATGCCAAAAGACATTGAACCTTTCTTGCGGATTCCCAGAAAGTTGTTTCCGTCTCTTTTTGATTCCACCATCTCCCACGGTACCCAATGTTGCCACAGAAAGCCCGCCAGAATATCAAAATTGGATATCTGAATTTCTTCGCTATCCACTGGCTTACTACCATGAGCAAGCTGACTTATTCATGAAGAATTGGGAGGCTTTTTGTCCCGTTCTAGTTCGGAATGAAGTTTTGGCAGACATTGATCATATGATAGGGCTACTCGGCGACCTCAACTATACTGCGAAGCCCAACCCAGCCATAGCACTGACGCTCTTGATGATTCATTGTATAAATGACTTGAAGAACAACGAAATGGAGCCAGAATATCCCTTAAATCCCAACCGCGAGCGGTATCTGTCCTTGGCCAGGAGTCTGGTTGACGAGGTAGCCGCAAGAGGGGATATGAGAAGCTTACAAGCATTGGTGCTCTTCGGCTTTTACAGCCAGCTGAGTGGTGACTGTCTTGCGATGACGAGGATTAATGGCTTGATGGTCAGCATTTCCCAGTCACTGGGCCTGCATCGCCATGCTAGACGCTTCAAAATGAAACCCGGTGAAATTGAGCTTCGGAAGCGAGTTTGGTGGTATGTCTACGTTTTCGACAGGTATGTGATCATCCAGGCTATTTCAGTAGCTAGAGTCTAACTTTTATAGTATGTCATCTCTGCTTCACGGACTTCCGGCTTTGATAAATGACGTGGATGTAGACAATGACTTGCCTTCGGACTGCTGTCTTCTCGGCCTGGATTCCGCAGACATCTCCCACCCTCTGCCCGGTGAGAATACCGCAGTCTTTGTCTTTATCCAATATGTGCGCATTGGTAAAATATTTTCGCGGATTCGTGAAATGCTTTACACGACTACCAAACGTCGAAACGGTGCGGCCAAAATCAAGGAGTTGGATCTCGATCTGCATATGTGGAGCCAAAGTCTAAAAGTACATGGCATCCAATTTGAAATTGGGGCCCTACCAACACTAAACCTAGCCGAATGTGCTAGGAAAGGAATTGAAAAAACGGCACTATGGCTTCAACTGCTAGCAAATATTGCAACGGTATTCATACACCGACCAGGCCTGTCCTTTGACGAGGACACGCCTCAGTTTGCAAACTGCCTTCGAGCATGCGTGGGGTCTAGCAGTGCTTGTTTAGCCTTGCTCGAAAATACCTATGTCTCACGGTGGTTACAGAATTTGAGCATGATAGGCCATGGGGTGGTATTCCAGTCGGCTTTGATGCATGTTCATTACCAATGCCAATCATCCACAGTCAACCTCGAGGGTGGCCCGTCTTTGGAAACTAGCCTCGATTTTGTTTTGAAGGGAAGATTTATACTCGAGAAACATGTTATTCTCAATACACAGGTGCCCGACTCTCGACACTCTATCTATCACGAGTCCATCTCTGAGGTCATGGGGGTTTTGGACCTGCTACACTCTCTGCTGGTACAGAAAGGGCAAACGGAGGCAGACACAGGGTCCTTGACGAACCATGATATTCTGGGCGACCCTCCTGTATTATTTGACGAACTTAATTGGGGAACGGAAGCGCTAGATGTTTTGAATTACGTTACTGCGACTGACTGGGCCTACGACATTCCGGTGCCGTTTATGGGATACCCAGAGCTCGACGCACCGGAAGTGATGATGGAAAACACGCATCTAGAGCCATAATTGAGCAGATTCAGGCACGTCCGCAGAAGCAAAGTACTCAGCTTTGGGTATCAGGTCAACAGAAACCTAGCGAAGTCAAAAATTAAAAGATTTTTCTCCTTACTTATCCTTTACCCCCAAGTTAACTCTACAAAGAACAAAGATTTTTTATAGTCAAAAGAATGGTTGAGTTCACAAGTTAAAAGATGTGCATACTATTAAGTGAGATTAGGAAAAAAGAAAGGGTTTAGGTTCGAGGATGCTATGCTAAAAGATGGTTGGAAAATTGCGAAATCAAATCGCCAAATAACTGGTCAATTCACATCGGCTGACCTAAGTAATAACGAAGAAGAGTTTCTATGGTTGAATTCTCCTGGTTGTAGAGGATCCATAGTTGAGTGTGCTGGCTAGGGCATCGGTCAGGGTCACCTGCGCCACGTCAATATGCCACTTGCCTTTCCGGCGTGTCATTTGTCCAAGGACTTGGTCGAGTGGTAGACGTGGCCAAGTGTACAAGGCCTGAAAGTCAACGCTTGACTTCGTCTTCCGTGCACGTTCACGCTGAGAAGTTTCGGGGGTCCAGAAAGTGGGCTGCTGATGTTCGACTGGGACTGCAGCGGACGTAGCCTCACACCATAACATCATCTGGCGTAAGGCAAAAATGTCGAATGGTACTGAATTTCTTCTCAGCGAAGGAGACTTGGAGGATTATGACATGGTGTGCACCTAGAAAGGAGAAGAAAAGTACCTGGTGGCACAGTCTATTAGCAAGTATCCCAAACCCCTGGGCCATTTAGGATAAATCGCGTTCTATGCCTCACCGGAAGATCTCTGTAGTTCCGAAAGCTCGTATGCATCACTCTTTTCTTCATGACATGCAAAGCAACCTCAACCTCAGCAGACTGAGCCCGTGATTCCCGTCGGAGGCATTGACGGATGAAGAGATTGTATATTCATTATATGCGGCTGAGGATAATCCGGGCCATAATATAGGAATTACTATGGATTATATAATACCAGTATGCCGCCTGCTACTATTGGCAGGCGCGATGGAGGTGATGGTGATGGTAGTAAAATAGGAAGGAGCGTTGTTTAAATAGACTACCTACTAGTACAGTATTTCCGAAAATCAGTGCCACCCCCATACTCAGTAACAGAAGGATTACAGCCAACCAACTTAGTTTGCGACACAAGAGTCGTGGTAAACACTAAAATATAACTACAGACAAAACAGTCGCGTTTAATAAGTGATTCTAACCTCATATGACTAAGGAAACCTTAGTATGGACTTACTAGGCGATGCAGCAGAACCAGATATATAAGAACGCTTGTTCAAACATATGCTTAGTTCTTCGAAATCAATCAATCTAAGTTACTGCAGAATGCCTGTTGGATTGTTCTTCATTCAGTTCCAACTCTTGTAACAAACATCCTACAAGTAGTGAAGCTCCACGTCATCTATCCAGGGAGATTCAGGGCGTTCGGGCGAGGGGCTGAAGGGGCTGAAGTAGTAGGCGGTAAGGGACTAAACCCAACAAAATAAGAACCAAACAATAAATAACTAAAAAAGATACAACAGCAGGGATTCACACGTGGTCACCCACCATACTACTAACCTGCCGGCGTGTGGCTTATGTGCGGCAGATAGTCGGGTGGCTGCCGCCCGGGTGAGAAGTGGGTGAGCGCCGCTTTACGGTCGCGCGACTTGGGTGAGAGAGGGTGAGTGCGCAATAGACAGGGTGAGAAGCTGGGTGAGAGCGGGTGAGAATCACCCAGCGTCGCGCGACCACCGCGCTAACCCCTCTCATCTGAGCTCAGATCCAGCCTTATTGGTTCATCCCCAAAGCGCTGAAACTACGGTCTCTACCACTTGCATATCCCGTCGAGTTCGATTGGCCAAAGAACGGCAAGGCTGAATTCGATGTCGCCTTGGGCCAAATCGTGTCTGTTGTCCTGACATCAGGAATGTCACGTGGACATTTACGTCTACTACGCTGGAAAGAAGCACAGGATAAGTGGTTCCCAAAGGCGGGACATACTGTGTCCGCTGAGATTAGTTCATGAACTCATATGAGCCCATCCATATCATTATTAGAGGCTTCTCTGTTTCTCCAGACTCGGTACACACGTGCTCGAAATCAGTTTCAGTAGTTTATTGCTTTCGATTTCTTTTCCCAAACTCTATTTTAAAAAACCCTTGTCTAGCTTTAGTTTGGTGAGTTTCAGATCCTGGAAACGTATTGTAAGAGAGAGTCACATGATTGGCTACTTGGTAATTTTTCTGGAAATGATCATACGATTATTATCTCCGCTAATCGATCATGATGCTAATGTCACGGGTCAGACCCGCTTCTCACAATGGCCTTGCCATAGCCTCTTTCCCGCACGCCCCCGTTCTGCCACCGCCTTGCACGTTACTTCTGTCGTTGTTCCGCTTGTTCCACTCCTTTCCTTGTCCAAGCTTTTTGTAAACAGCATGTTGGCCTAGTTAGATTTAATCAAGTCTTGCTTCAGCCCTTCACAGTTAAAGGGACTTCGGCGACAAGGCAGACTCAGTGATAAGGGTTAGAGTAGACTCCAAATACGGACGAAGGTAGGAGGAAATAAATAGGTCGACAGAAATTAACGTTTATAAACGGTCGTACTACGATATGATACAATAATAGGGGTAGTCTACACTTGTGCCCGTGTACTTTTGCCGCTATTTCGAAGAGCACTGCCACGCGAAAACAACGAACTTATAACGTGTTTTGGACCCCACCCGATACCCCTTTTTTTTATTCCTGCTGTTTAAAGAGCGCTATGGTTAGTACTTTCTATCAACTAGACAACCGGCTCCGTTGGCTTCCGCAAGCTCAGCGCAACTCACTCGAAATACCGTGGGAGTATAATTAGAGCGCCTTGGAAGCCCAAAATTGTATGGAGGTTCTCTGTACGATCAATGTTTGCCAGCTTCTACTCAGTACGACGAGGATACTGGTTTAGCGAAATACGTGCGAGGGTAATTGCGCTCAAGAGCTAATGCAAGGTGGTTTGCCTAGGTCTATATCAACCGGAGTCTCCGGGGTACGATTGGCCGGACATGCTGGTCCCCAGGGTCTATGGGGGCCAAGGACAGGGTCTAGCTGATTAGCGGTTTAGCAGCGCGGAAAGGTAGCAGCTAGCCTCTAAAGCTTGCAGCCATGTCAGCCGTGCTTCCGTTCTTGGTAATAAATAAGAGGGAAGAGATTTCATGCTCCGTTCCATCAGAACGTTTCAATCTACTTCTCAAGATGTCTCGAAGCCCAGAGTCGGCAAGCCCTATCTATGAGCCGATTAAGAGGTCAGACGATGATCATTATAACCCGGACCTGAACGCCGAAACACCGACTTTTAAAGGCTCTCCTATTTCTGCAACATCGAAACAACATGACGAAGGAGCAGAGGAGAGAGTCACAGAAATCGGTTGATAGTGACTGGTTTGTCTGGGAACTCCTGGGAGTCGCGATATCGGGTGGTATCCTAGTTGCCACAGTCGTCATCCTTGCCTCGCTCAACAACACACCTGAACCAAAGTGGAAGTACATGTCTCTCAACTCGTTGATTTCCTGGTTGAGCACCGTCTCAAAGGGCTGCCTTATATCTGCCATTAGCGGGGTGCTAGGCCAGTTGAAGTGGACATGGTTCAAGCAAGCATCGCGACCCCTACCAGACCTTCGTCAATTTGACACGGCGAGTCGAGGATTTTATGGCGCTATCCAGTTGATATGGAGATTACGTGCTAGGTAGGCCATGCTCATTAGCTTAGAGTTTTTCCAGACTAACACGACGGACAGGCATTTTGCGGTCTGGAGCTGCTTGGCTGTTATCCTGGCGTTGGGATATGATCCATTTGTGCAGAATCTAGTTCACTATCAACAAAAAATGGTTGTGGATTCATCAAAAACTGCTTTTGTGGCAAATTCATCCATATACAATGCTTATGGATTTCAATATGTGCTTACGGGTAGTGGAGGTAGGTCAAAACAAAAGAAACATATTACCTGTGGCTTGGATTGACGATATGACAGAGAACAAAATGGTCGATTCTGAACTCAAATCGAATGTATACAATTCTCTTCTAAACCGCGACCAAAAGAGACCTTGGGCCATTCCTCAGTATTCCTGCAGCTCAGCAAATTGCACATGGGGTGCTGTTGCATCGTTGGAAACCCGCGCACTCTGCGCAAACATCACTGAGCACCTCGCCAAGTCATGTAAAGTGACCGAGGAATATGGCTTTTCAGATACGAGCTGCAATGTCACCCTCCCCAAAAGCAACGTAAAAGCATCCTTTAAGGGGGTCACATCGACCACTACATTCAGTGCATTCGTTAGCTCTGCAGTTGATCCGGATGCAGCCTTGGTATTTACCAATGCGACAATGTATCCAATACAGTTTATTACTCCCCGACTCGCAAATATCTCAGTACTTGCGGATCCAATTATGAACCAAGGATTGTCATTGAGCGGTGACGCATGGGAGGCAACGGAATGCGTCATTGAGCCTGTCGTACGCCTTTCTAGGCCCTCTGTCCGGAACAATGTCTTCACCGATGACACACTAGCGATCTGGAATACTGCGACTGTACCCAATAACGAGACAGGATGGTACTTTAATCCACCCTGGGGAGATGATATGGGTGTGCAACCTAACCAAACCTTTATACTTGAGAGGGAAGCAGAATTTGCTATCAGGGCGTTTTTAATGAACATTTTGAGTGGCGGGTTCTCGCACAATCCATTACATCAATCATATGGAGCGACAAATGACAATATGGGGTACGCCGCATCCGACATCCTTCAGGCCCTTGGACGGGAAGATATTGTTGGATGTAGTAGCGAGTCAGCGATCAGGTTGAGATGCGCCATGGAAAACATTGCAGCAGCAATCTCCAAAACCTTTCGAGACACCATGTACATCCAGGCAGCTTCGAAGCTGGAAAACTCGAACATGACACCAGGTCATGTTCTGACCAGTGTGACATATGTCTCGATTCACTGGCAATGGATTGTATTACCCGTACTTGTTTGGATACTCGGGGCTGTCGCGCTGGTAGGGACTTTCTGGAAGACACGGCGGATGCGAGTGCCCAAGTGGAGGAATGATCCATTGCCTTTACTATTTCTTTATCGGCATGAGACCGGTGATGCACAGAGATATGAATTACTTGAACAGATTGATTCTGGCGAGCTAAATACCCTGCGTGGAAGGCTGCACGACGTTGACGGAAACTTAAATATAGGATGATGAGAAGTAATCAATTATGTGACAATCAGCTAGTAAGAGAGAACGCATTGGATAGTAGAAGGATCGGTTGGATTTCAGAACTTAGGTCGTACTGTTGCGAGATGCCCTTAGGATCGAAGCCTATACCGATAGTGCCGGAATCAGCTGTTATCGCAGCATGCAGTGCGGACGTAAATCTGAATATGAATCCAGACAAGCATACTAATATGGGTGCTGCGAGACTGAGGTATCCATAGCCATAAGAACGAAGGCTCATGACCAGCGAAGAATCGGAGATTTATCAGTCGTAAGTTTGGGATACATATTGACCAATGACAGCTACCTATCGGGCGCATATGCCCACCCAGAAGGAGAGCATTGAAATCTCCGGATGAAGGCACACTCTTCCTGAGCTGCTCCACATATTCCACTTTAAGGGAGCTCACCCTTCGAATCCCCTGACGAAGAGTCCGGGAAAAAATCGCTGCTTCGACGCCCTCGTTTAGTTTCCCTTTTCCTCGCAACTTATCCTTCATCTTCCGAGCTTGGCTGTTCCGGCGGAGTTTGAGGCCGACGACGCTTTCCAGCTCCCGGGCGTAGTCGATTGATAGAGCCCTGCAGTAGCATCTGCCCTGGCTGTTCTTCTTTGGCGCGGGAAAGGAAGTCACAAAGCTGCGTCGATGTTATGGAAAAATCTTGATTGAGACTAGTGAGCCCCTGTGAGAGTTCCTGGGTTGCGAAGTCCCTCAAGGACAGTCGGAGCGCTGTTTCTTCGATCGGAAGGCCGCAATCAGTCCGAAATGGCTGTAACAGTCAGCAACTAAAACTCGGAAAGATTGTCACTCATATGGTACGTACCAGCGCCTCGATAGTAGCGGTCGCTTGAAGCTCCTCCTTACCATCCAAGGTTGCGTATTCCGGTCGCCATACAGTACTTGTCGCTTTTTTGGGCCCTTTATAATCGATATCGAGGGCCACCACCGCGTTCACGCTCCCATCAGTGTTTAAGATGTATTCATCCGCTAAGTGCGAAACACATCGACCTTTTTGTGAATAGCACACCTCGATAATAACACCGGGGTAGCGTGCTCGCCGGTGTTTAGATGATGCATCTGGCTCCCGCTGAGAATCAATCTGCTTTCCATAATTACTGCTATCTTATCTCAGAATTTAGCTTATACTATCTCATCTATATAGATAAATCTGGGTGTAATAAGCAGATAGAGATCAGAAGAACTAGTTAGTCTTCTCTCAGTATAATATTCGTATAAGTCTTAAAATTCTATTATAATTAGTAGTATCAGATTCTCCCTGTATATATACAAGATAGAATTCTACTTCCTTATATCTTCTAAGTTATAATAGATATATTATTCTTTAAATATTATACTATAAAGCTGGCCCATGAGTGTGTGGAAAGTTCTCTTTCCTCAATGAAAGGATCAGTAGATCGCAGGAGCTCCAAGGCACAAGCCCTATCGAAGACTGCAGTCTGCATTTGAATCGTACAGTAAATTATATGGATCTTGAGGCTTATCTTAGGAATTTCAGTTAGAAAGCGACCACGTTATTTTTTGATTACTGAAATCAAAAGGATGGCCTACAAAATCTTGGGTGTGCGTTAACAAAAATGACCCCGCGATCAAGATCACTTGAGACTTGAATGGCGTCGGAAATATAACAATGATGTAACTTGGCATATGAATATTACAACCGTCGCTCAACATGGCAGCCGCCTCACAGCCCTGTCGGTGAATATTACGGGTTATCACCTCCCTACGCCTAGACCGACAATCAGGTGACTGCCATGACAGTCCATTGGAAAGTATTGTGCGTGGCAAGACTAGGCCTGGGTAAAATTGCTCAAGTCACATAATATCTTTATTTTCTTGGCCATTGACCGCAGGTGCTCAGCTATAATCGTCAGCTGAGAATCCAAAGATCAGGACGCGGCCAGACTGGCAGCTAATCGTAAAGGCTGACCCAGCCCGTCCTACAGCTGAACAGGCTGGGCAATACATTTGAGGCACCCATAAACAATTTTGTAAATACTGTGTGATCCAGGACCCATCGAAACCGATACAGTAGCCTTGGTACTCAGAGGTTTGCGGCTGTTGAATCGCCAGGAGTGAGATTCTGAAGGGGGAAACTTTGTCGAAGTGGTAGGGGCAGGAGTCAGCAAGTCGCGAAGGATGACAATCCCAACGTCAGTGTGAAGACAAGAGCCAGTGAAGTCGAAAGAAAGATTGCTGACAGAAGAGGCAATCCTACGCATCCCAGATCTTGAAGGTGTTGTCGTACGATCCGGACGCGACGCGGCTGCTGTCGTGGAGAACACCACTGAGTTGACTCTGTCATGCCCGTGCTGGAACAGCTGCTTTATCATACTTTGTCGTGGGCTGAATATCAGCCCCGACCTATACACCTGGAGGGGTCTGGTTTCGATTGCGTCTCGATGGTAGCGTGTAAACCGGTACACATCCTGGACCAGGCCCTGCAATCCGGCTGCTCCTGATCACCTTTATAGTGATATTAGAACACCTTGAAAGACTCGAAATAAACACATACCCGTACCAGAAGTATCCCACCTGTTACGCCTTGAAGGGAACTCAGTGCCTCAAGCCAGTAGAGACATCGGCTTCGGAGGAATGTGTCAACAGTGCCAGCGTCCTGGAAATCTTCGGTTGATCTACATTGTTCTCAATGGTTCACCCAGTAGACACATAAGTAGCGTGCGAATGCAAGTAGATCTGGCTCAGGCGGCTGGGCCTGGTTGATAGGAGTACCTAAGGCGCCCAGACTGTACATGTCGCGCCGCAATACCTTCTTCATGATCTGCAGAGATTGCGTGAACATACAGCGATGGGTTACCGCAGATCCAGAGGGGAATACGCTCAGGTCACCCTTTCCGATCAAACAGTCCTTGGCAGACTGATGTACAAAGTAGATGGAATAATCACGAGCTATAAGGAAGGAACCGCTCTTCTTCACTATCTGCTCCACCCGTCCGGTGCTTTTCACAACCTTGTCTGGGATTTCAGACAATACTCCCAGCCCCAGCAGCTGAAACGGCTGGTAGGCCAGTGTGACGGCTGAGAGGACGAGCTGACAGTAGCCTCGGCTTTGACGCGGAGGACTTGTTCAACATATGCCCGGTCCGACTCGTCTTGTAGAGATTCGATATTCGATAGAATGTAGGCACTGATAGCCCCGGATACGAGCTCTGCGTTCTCCTGCAGTTCCAGCCTTAGTACTGATTGCGAGTCCGCGAGTCTGTACGCTGTTCGACATGGTTCCGGCTGGAAATGAGCCATTTGACGTGTGGAAATTAAGTACCCTCTCACACCCATCACTTTCGATGAATATCTTCAACGAGAAAGCGGACTTGTTCTTAAGACATTTGGCTAGTGAATTTCTGAAGACCATGGTCTTCGCTCCGTGAAACAATGAAGCTATTTAACGGCCCGCAACAAACTTGCGGATCTCGAAATCCATCTTTGCTCCATCTTGTCATGCAGGCTAAGGGTATCCGCATCCTCTCTAGCGGCAGACATCCATTCGTTTTCACTCACTGCATTCCATAAAGAATCATTTGTCGGCAATGGGAACTGTAAGTCGCAAGCACTGAGCACCTGACCTGCGGTACCAGCAGTATCAGAGGCTTTTTCCCTCTCAATACTACAGCCTAGAGTGTTCCAAACTTTGTAGAGAGCAAGATTAAACCGCTTAACCTCCTCTATACCAACCCAGGCATAAGAGAGCAAAACGTTTGGTTCGTATCGAGCAAGCATGTTAGGATAATATAACATGCCTAACCTTTTGCAACTAAGGATAAGAGGCTCGAGTAGATGCATGCCCTCAGATGAAAGAGTGGGTTTCAAGTCAAGTCCAATTCGAACGCCAGCTGTGGCCATTATGGAGAACATGATGTGTAATAGTATGGCCTGATATGTTGGAATAGGCCAGAAGCATGAGCTACACGCATCTTCTGCTGTAGAAGCATCCCATTTCTCCTACGGAGCCAATATCAGCAGAAGTGGCTCATCTCAGTGCACGGGCATATTCACGTACCTTTTGCTGAAGTATTGCTATGTTCAACACGTCATGAAGGTCCACTGCAATAGCCTGTGCGCTCTGGTCCCCGCTTGTCCATAGGCCAATGGCAACCATTGCCTGCACTAGAAGAGGTGTTTCACAATTTGCATTGAATGACCCTTGGTGAATAAAAGGCCAATGAGGGTGAAATGACTCAAAGTATAACTCGATACCCTGTCGTTCTTTCTCGGATGGAGACTTTTCCAGATCAAAAGGATATTTTGGCTTCAGAATAGGTGCTGGGTGTACCCAATCAAGAGGAGTATTGCTTTTGGTCATCTCGTCCTGCTGACTGAGAGAGCAGGTGACTTGGCGACGTAGGCACTCGCTACATGGGGGCCCTCCTTCACATCGCGCCTTGATGGTTCGACAATTTGTGCAGGCTTTCAGGGCGCGCGAAAGAGGTTCGTTGATTTTATGACGTTGTCGCACATGTCGACGGAGAGTGTCGCTAGAGATAACAAGTTTGAGAATGTTTTTTACCAAATGGATATGAGAAGACAGCGCTACTGCTTACCTTCGCCCAAAATGACGGCCACAAAATGAACAATCGAAAGATCGCTGCCCAAAGTGTTGCGCCTCATGACGACTTAAGTGCTCTCTGCGTTGGTACGTCGCGCCACAGCCAGGATGCTGACACGGGAACTCCTTTCCGGAAACTTGGGGGTTGTGTACCTTGTTCTTCATTGTGGAAGAACTTCTATTCATCAGTTCAACAACTGCGTGAAGTGATAAATGTCCTATGCAATGCCCTGACTTTTAGCGGTAGAGTTCGCGTATTACTCACGGAAAGGAGCCCGAGGAAACCCAAGTCATGCGATATTAGTCATTCTGGGTAAGTTCCACCCATCAGCCCCACCAGCCACCAGCCACAGAAAATGATCTTTCTCGCTTTATTTGCTTATAGGGATGAAATTTAATACAAGTTCAAGTAATCAAGGGAATTCGCATTCTTGAGTCACAAGTTCACAAAATAATGCAGCCGACGGGCACCAGTCCTAGATGTTTCTGAGGTTCTGATTCTTTGATTTCCCTACGAGTCCACTGGTTTATTGCTTTAGTACACTACCGCATTATGCAATTCCATAGTTTTCATTAGCGAAGATGATTGGTTCACTAGTTAGTGAAATCTTTCTATGATAACTAGTGCCAAATGATCTTATTGAGAGTGATTCAATATTTGCGCCTGGGAAAGTGGTATTGCGATTCTTCTACGATCGAGGAAAATTATAGATTTTGTTGGAATGGATTCGAAGCTTTCACTAAATGACATTTTTTTTTTCTAAATTTGACCATGGGAGGATGCATGATAGTATGCAGCATCACTTGCCCTGGACTTAATAAAATATTCTGAGTATTAACTGCCAGTCAAGATCAAAACCAAAGAAGCAGCAATCGAATATGAATCATTCCGACAGCCTCAAGCATCAGAAATCATTAGACTGGAACATCCATCTCAAATATTTTATTTCCTAATCCTCCAGCAGAGACTTCAAGACATCAGCAGGTGAGCGTTTTGGAGCAGCAAGCTCTAGGATCTCTTTGCTAGATGTAGAAGTCGAGCATTGCCCTGCCCAAGCAGTCTCAGGAGCGCGTTGAATGGAGTAGATGACGTTCTTCGATTGTTTGGTTGCTGCGTACTGGTACTGATAAAGCATTTCGATAAACGAGACATCTTTGTAGCTGACGTCCTTCAGAGGTGTGCCAATATACTGCTCAACCATTTCGACGATCTTCTTTCCAGTGATATCCTCGGGTCCGTTGAGAACGTACTTGGCCTTGTTGTCTACTGAAGTATCATCCTGGGACAAGAGATGAGCTGCGGCCACCCCAATCTCGTAAGGGTCGATGATGCCGACAGGGGCATCTTCCGCCAGCATAAGACGAAGAGTATCCTGCTCTCCAGTCTTACGGTAATTTTTGATCAACTCTGCGGCAGGGGACATAATAAGTGTCGAAAAGATGTTGGGCTGAAGAGATGTCCAGTGCAGGTTCTTGAACTCCAATGAGCCCAGAAGGGCCTCAATAGCCCAGTGTTGACGTGGGTAATAGGCAGGGCAATCAGGGCGGACATTTGCAGCAGTGGTTGAGATCCGCACAACATATTGAACGCCAGCGGTGAGGGCGTTAAGATAGAAAGTTGATTCTTCGGCGAACTGGGTAGGCTCATTGTGGGATGCAATAAAAGCTCTAGTGACTTCATTGGTGCGAAGCCACTCGGCAGTGATTTCCACCCAGTTCTGCTCCACCACTTCAACCCCAGGGAGTTTGGCAAGCTCCTTTGCCGCCGGACTGTCAGAAGAACGAGTAAGAGCAATAATGCGATGACTGGACAAAGTGCTGCATGATTGGAGTAACTTTGGCAAAGTTTGAGTGACTGCTCGGCCAGTGTTGCCGGTAGCGCCAACAATCAATATAGAAGGAGACATTATCGTAGAGTAGAGAGAGATAGCTTCTCAGACAGATATCGGCGGCCTTGCTGAGAACTTATAGGCTTTGTTTTCGGATTTTCTTCTGAGTGGTTTGTGATTTGTGATCAGAAACCGACAAAGCTAAAGTGTACATCATTTCGCTATCGATCACTACCTGATGACGCATGGATTATCATTGGGGCCAAATTATGCTGCGGGTGCCCACCGGGTACCCACCGGGTACCCACCCACCGCCTACAGGCATCTGTCACGACAGCCATGCCATAACTACTCCGTAGGGTGACATACCTCAATGCAATGTTTTTCGCTATAATAGATACTGTAAGATGCTCCAAAGGCCTTATTTTCTTGTCCATTTTCCACGCATCGCGCAACATTTTCAATGCTAACTGTCAATCGTACTAGCTAAGAATTGGAGTAAGGCCGGTGGGAAGCCGGTGGGAGGCGGTGGAAGGTGGTGGGCCCCACTTTGTCAATACCACGGTTCATAAATCAATCATTCAACTAAACTTCAATTAGCAGGCGCTGTTTTTAAATTGAGGCAAGAACTCGTAACCAGACCCTGCTCCGGTCAATAAGAATTGGACTGATTATGATAACAGCCCTACATGTAACCCAGCGCCGGCATAACTGAGAGCCTAAGTGCCTAGCGGCACTGGATGCACCACTCACCTCTCTTTCCTCGTAAAAGTCCTGGGTACTTTATGCTGGTACTTGTAGGTAGCTATTTTCAGTTTAGAAAGAGCCAATATTGCTCGGTTGTCAGTCGAATCAATACAGGTATCTCTACACACAGATTCCGCATATCTCGTCTGATCAATATCGACAAAGTTTTTATTGTAGCCTTTTGAACTATTACTACTCTGCATACGAGTTGAATTTGAGACATGAATGTCGGGAATCAAAATCCGGTCCCATATCTTTACAGACGAAATCATTACACAAATAGAATTGATAATAGCGGCCTATTTTGTGCAATCGATAACAACTTTGCCCATTTGTTTTCCGCTTTCGATCCGCTGATACGCCTCACGATATTTAGCAAACGGATAGACACGATCAATGACCGGGTGCACCTTATGCATCGCCATAGCCTTAATTATGGCTTCGAGTCGGGTCCGGGGACCTACAGATGAGGCGCCGAGGAAAAGTGATCGGTAAAGGATGTCGACGGGGAGATACCGCCGCCGAGGCCGCTTGTAGCTCCAACTACTGCAACCTCGCCACGAATTTTGGCCGACGCGGCGGATTTGGTGATTGTCTTTTCGCCAGCGATGTCGATTACCTTATCAACACCTGAGACCATCGGTAAGGGCGAGAATTTCGCGGTCCCAATCAGGGAATGTGTTGTAATTGACAACGGCTTCAGCGCCAAGCTCCTTGAGCTTTGCCGCCTTTTCATCAGAAGATGTGATCGCTAGGACTCGAGCACCAAACATTTTCGCAATTTGAAGAGCGAAAAGGGCAACACCGCCCGTACCTTGGATCAGCACCGTCTGACCCGGCTGGAGGGGCGAGGCGAGGTTAAGCGACGACCAAGCGGCACCGGCTGCGCAAGGAAGAGCGGCAGCTTCGATATAGGAGATAGATGCCGGCAGATGGACCACAGCGTTTTCATGCAGCACTGCATATTCGGTCAACATTCCGTCTGTACTCAAGCCGAGACTGGCTGTCTGATATTCGGGGACGAATGGGCCGCTGATCCAATGCACGAAGCAATTAGCGGCGACACGGTCGCCGACTTTGGCACGCGAGACATCTTCACCAATAGCGACCACCTCGCCAGCACCATCCGATAAAGGCACGATATCCTTCGACGTGGCCACGATAGGTTGATGGCTCAACAAAGCCTGGTCACGGAAGTTCAGCGACGTGGCATGAACGCGAATAAGCACCTGGTGACGATCAGGCTTCGGGATAGGCTCGTGACGTAACTCGGGGCTTCTTTTCCCGTCTCTAGTGGTGAGCCTGACAGCTTTCATTTGTTCCATTCTTGTTGGTACGAATTCTACCGGCACCAGATTCAAGTATAATTGATTGATGAGGATCCGTAATAGACTCGAGTCGATGCAACTAATCGCGGATAGCACCAAATAGGGGAATTTGGCACCCTTTATCTGTAAGAAAGGGTGGGATAGCGATGTTGTCTTTTTTGATTTATAAGGCGTCAAGGAAAGCGTAGGCTAGCGTTGGTAACTCTTACGTATTATTACATGTACTCTATGTGTATGAACAGGTGGATGGGATGTAGTTTCACATGAAGCGTGCCTTATGATTTGGAAGAGGATTTTACGGATTCAAGTCAAAGTGTCTCCCTCAAAGATCTATGACCCCCTTTTCTTTTCAGAAATACCGAGTTCTTCGAGAATTTAATTTCAATATGGGTGCGATTATTCACCAGTTCACGGATGCGGGTTTTGGTTATGGTACTCTATTACTATAAAGCCCCTCTGTATGAAATAACCTAGGAAACACCAGTGGGTACTCTTACAGAGCCTGATATAACCCGCAAGTCCCACCGGCCTCCCACCGGCACTCCACCGGCATTCCACAGCTGCTTCCAGTTTCGGCGTTCTAGAATCCACCACCATAATCATACTCTCGTAAAAATGGGTCAAATGCCCTGGAATTTTCAGCATTAATCGATTAGAAATCAATTATTGTGCGGATGTATTGGTTTGACCCCCTGTCTTGTTCATCCTAAGCCCAGGTATATTGAATTGCTCCAGCCCTCGGTCCTCTATTCAAAGACTACGTACCGAATCAAACATGTCTTCAATCCTGAGAAGCCCGAACACCGGCGTCACACCAGACCAAGCGGGCTGTTGGGTTGTGACCGAATTTGGCATTCCATCCATGCTGCAATGGAAACCTTGGTACCAAATTCCCGAACTCTCCGCCGACAAAGTTCTTGTCCGCATCATCGTTGCTGGAATTGCTGGGGTGGACAACATTCAAAGAGCAGGCGGCTATCCTCACCCTGATACCATCAAGCCGGGATTCACACCAGGATATGATTTTGTGGGCGAGATCGTCGCATTCGGTGAATCTGTGCCACAGGATATACAATTGGCTCCTGGAGATCGTGTTGTCTCCTTGTGCACCACCGGCGCTCATGCCACCCATATCGTCATATCATATACGAAACTTATACGTATTGAACGTACTGATGATCCTTTGAAAGTTGCATCCCTACCACTTAACTATATGACGGCCTGGGGCTTGCTCAACCGCAGCGGAGTCCAGCTCAAGCCTGGTTCGAGTATTTTGATCGGCTCTGCGAGTGGGGGCATTGGCACTGCTGTTGCGCAGCTAGTCACTGCGTTTGACATGAAGATCAAGATGATCGGGACTTGCTCGCCCTCTAAATTTGACTATCTGAGATCACTCGGTGTGGAACCGGTCGACCGCAATGCTCCTGATCTTGTCAAACAGGTACGGGCATTGGCCAACGAGGGCGTCGACGTCGCGTATGATGGAGTTTGCAGCGAGGATAGTCTCCAAAAGAGCTTATCTGCAACAAAGGACAATATCGGAAGGGTCGTTGTATTTGGAATCATGTCAGAGATTGCTGCGGATGGTAGCGCGATGCAGCATAGTGTAGCTGAGACACTTGCAGCGCGGCTGCAGCCGCGTATGAGCTTTGGTGGTATTGGATCAGGGTTCCCCACCTTTCATGGCGCTTCGCTCGTTGAATTCAAAGCGATTTTGGAAAAGGTCCGCAGAAATAAGCTCACGCCGAGTATTGCTAAGCTTTTTCCATTGCGCGATGCTGTTGAAGCTCATGAACATCTTGTCTCGGGAACTGCGGTCAAGGGTAAGATGCTGTTTCTTGTTGATCCGGATCTAGCAATTCAGTATGGTGTAGCCAAAACCTCTGACCGGACATGCCGTGGTATTCATGAACAAAACTAGAAGAGGAATAACGCCTCCACTGTCCTACACGTCGATTTAATGGTAGTGCCCCTCTACATCAATAATCTAGTCGCTTTCCTTTAATCTTTCTGATGATCATTTCCTCTTTTAAATATTCGCCGCTTGCTCTGGACTATCTGGCATGCCTGTACAATTTTTACGTTCGACTTTGCCCTATCCCGTCTATACCTGAATGGCAGCACTGAAGGCATTGACTTCATTAAGCTGTCTCAAATCCCAATTGAATACCTACAAATTCAGGTCGACCCTGCGGACCGATTTATCCGCATTGATGGAATGCCATTGTTGGAGGGCGTACCAGCTAATGTATATGTTCCTAGTTGGTTTGGCGCTTGTAGTGATGATATTGTTCACGAGAAGAGAAGATCATCATTAGCGACTTTGGAAAATCTTTCAATCCGCACAAGACGCTCAGACTATCCTCAAAACCCCTCCCTACCCTCCAGCCGCCTGAGAGTGGATTCTCTGACAAGTCTCTCTCTTTTACCTCCGACATTTTGACACTTGCCTGTACTTTCTGGGAGATTTTTGGCCAACGGCCTCTGTTTGAGGCTTTTTACCCCATTGCGGATCGTGCCACTACAAAGCAAGTCGAGGTCATTATTTACTTACCTCCTAAGTGGTGTAAACATTAGAATAGGATGTTGAAATAGTTCAATGAGGAGGGAGAGTTAAATTTGAAACCAGTCTCGTCTATGGGTCAGGATGGCATGCGCCGGACTTGGGGAGGACAGGTTTGGCGACTTCATACAGGAACCTCGTGCTAAGGCGGGCCTAGAGACCGTGACAGAGCAAGAGAAGGGGGCTTTCGAGGCGATGCTTCAATCGATGCTAGTTTTTTGACTGAATGAAAGAGCGACAGCACAGCAGGCATTGTACTCTAAGATATGGCAATGACATACTCAAGGATCTTGATCTTCTTGAACTTGAACTTGAAGAGATAACCAGGCCGCTGGCAGCGCTCCCCTTTTATCCCCTGGCTGAAGTCATTGGAGACTTCCAATCTTTCCAGGTAATTGAAAATGGAGTACCTTAAGCATCCCTTCTATTTACTACTTTTTTGAGCTTGACTGACCCTGCAACAGGCAGCCTGAGAGAATGTATATGATCGACCAGCCCCACAATATCTTCGGGATAGACCCTTATTCCGAGGAACCCAACCCACTCCAGCGGAGCAGGCGTTAGTTCCGCATGAGGGGCCCCGGACAAAAAGCGAAGGTAGGAATGGATTATTTAAAGCTGATAATCTCCAGTTTGGATCTTGAGTTTATTTATTTCCCGCATTTTCCCTTAATCCCTACAATCCTCTCGCCATGTCCGTCTCCGCTCTCGACTCGCGTGTGTTCCGCAATTTGTTCGGAACACAAGAAATACGTGATATCTTCACAGACGATGCATACGTCAAATGTTTAATTGAGGTTGAGGCAGCTCTCGCACGCGCTCAATCAAAGATCGGCGTTATTCCATCGGAAGCGGGAGATTCGATCACGAAATCATTTTCCAACCTTCAACTTGAGTACGTTGACCAAAACGACCCGAAAGGATAATCTCTAACTCGTCACAGCTATGACCGTCTTGCAAGGGAAACAGATGTCGTTGGATACCCCGTTCTCCCTCTTGTCTGCCAGCTTGTCGAAGGCACGCCCAATGAAACCTCCAAGTATATCCACTGGGGAGCAACGACACAGGATATCATGGATGATGCATCCATGTTGCAAATTAAACGTGGTCTAGTGCTCGTTCAAAGAGAACTCGAATCTCTAAGAGGGACCTTGACAACATTAGCAACAACTCACCGGGACACGTATGTCCCCTTCGTCTTTTCCTATTGCTGTGATGTGAATTAGTATACTAACGTCTGTTTAGTCCAATGGCGGGCCGTACACATCTCCAACACGCCCTGCCTTGCACATTTGGCTACAAATGTGCCGTTTACCTCTCGAGTGTTCTTCGTCATATTGAAAGGCTTGAAGAAATGAAGCGGAGATGTTTGCTGGTGCAATTTGGAGGAGCAGCTGGAACTGTGGCCTCGCTGGGCTCCGACGACACAGGCCTCAGAGTTCGCGAACAGCTCGCTATCGAACTGGGCCTGCAAAACCCAGCCATCACATGGCATGTCGCAAGAGACAATGTGGCCGAGATCACCAATTTCCTAGCCCTGGTCGGTGGAACCTTGGGAAAGATCGCGTTGGATCTCATGATTATGTCCTCGAACGAATTTGACGAAGTGTCTGAGCCATTTGTCCCTCACCGCGGTGCTTCATCGACCATGCCGCAGAAGCGGAATCCCATCTCCTCCGAGGTTATTCTCGCTGCTTCTAAGATTCTCCGGGCCAATGCGTCGTTAGGGTTGGACGCGATGATCACTGACTTTGAGCGAGCGTCTGGACCATGGCATCTTGAATGGGTGGCGGTTCCAGATGCGTTTGTTACTGCAGTAGGTGCCCTCCATCAGACGAACTTTGCTCTGGATGGATTGGTTGTGAAAGTGGACTCTATGGAGCGTAACCTGCACTCAACAAAGGGATTGATTGTGGGCGAGGCGGTCATGATGGCTCTTGCACCTCATATTGGACGTCAAAAGGCACACGACGAGGTGTATGAAGCTTGCAAAGCTGCTATTGAGAACAACCGATCTCTACTTGAGGTGTTGAAAGAATCTACAGTAATGACGAGTATTTTCACCGCGGATCAATTGACGGGACTATGCGATCCTACTCAATATATGGGAGCCAGCCAGCTGATGGTTGACGAGATGGTGAAACGGTCTAATTTGACGCTGCCAAGGGGGGATCTCCACGCTTAAATGGAGGATAGAAATAGAAATAGAAATAGAAATGAAGATTGTACTTTTAGAATATTCAAGTTGAAGATGTGTTGATATTGAGTGTAAACTGGGTAGTAGTACTCCCGCCAACTGGTCAATCCGCACCGCAAAGGCCACTCTCGCCCGCTTGAAGTGCCAAAGCCAAAGCACTCCCGCACTCCCGCACTTTCTTCCTCCCACTTCACCTCCCCCACACACACACCATGTCGCACGCTCGAGTCGAAGAGCTGTCTGATTCCGATCCTGAGGAGATCGCCCCCTCCGATGATGACTTCGCCGACAATGTCATCATTGAGCCCATCGCCCCGCGTCAGGCTAACCCTCCCAAGGCCACGCCTGCGCCCGCACCGGCACCTGCACCGCCGATGATGAATCAAATGCCCATGAACCAAGTGCCCGAACCTACGCGCGAAATCCCCAAACACTTCCAATGCCTCTACCCCATCTACTTCGACAAGACCCGATCCCGTACCGATGGGCGCAAGGTTGGCTCCGAGCTGGCAGTCGAGAATCCCCTGGCCCGCGACATTGTCGATGCCGTGCAGATGTTGGGTTTGCAGGCTGGCTTGGAACCGGAGAAGCTACACCCCAAGGACTGGGCCAACCCTGGTCGTGTGCGCGTGTTGCTGAAGAATGAAGATGGCAAATCGATGAACTCTAAAATTAAGAACAGTATGTGGCTCAACGGGCTCCTACGAAGCGAAGGCCACCGGGCTTTGATTTGGATTGAACCCTCACAACTGACCACTTACTTGCACCTCTAGAACACCACCTCTACATCCTCGTCGCCCAATACCTCCAAGCTCACCCGACCGACGAGAAATCCCCCTACCGACTTCGAATTCGCGGCCTCCCTATGCCGGAGAAGCTTCCCGAGGCGCCTCCAGCCCCGCGCGGTTGGAAGATCGGCAAGATTCTTCCCATCCACTCGCCCGCCTACAGCGGCGGAGGTGTCAGCGATAATCCGTTCAAGGAAGCCATGGCGGAGATGCAAAACATGCAAGGTATGCCTGGCATGCCCCAGATGCCCCAGATCCCCGGAATGCCTGGGATGGGTATGCCTGGTATGCCCGGTGGAGAGGGCTCGGGAGCAGGCACTGAAAAGAAGAAGAAGGACAAGAAGAAGGGTAAGGCTTGAAAGAGCTGACGCTGACTTTCACCCCCCCTTGTCTTCTCTTCTATACCTTCTACTTGCATTGCACGGCGATGGGCGTTCCTTTTGCTTTTGAGACCTAGAACGAGGATATACCGTCGATATATCTATGGCCGTGGCTCGGTTGAGGCTTGGCTGCTAGTGTTCCTATCTCTGAATGGTGGACCTGAATATATGTACGACCCGGACAATGTCATTCTATCAGTGTAGCATGATGCATGTCTGGGAAATAGACCCGAATGATGTCAAAAATTCCACTATGTGTGGTTTGATACAAGTCTACAATATTGAAAACTATACAACTTACTCCTTCAAGTTTGTCTGTGAAGAGTCTCTTAGACTGAGTCATTGAAGCGCAACAAAAAGAGCCTGCCACCCGAATGTACTACACTCTTTGTGTTTCTACCCGCCCTGTCCATCCGGAAAGGTGCAGTTCAGACATATTCCAAGGTTCATATTAGAACATATTGCAATTGAACGGACTCAAATCCCCCCGGGGCCCTATATTGATCTAAATACCCGGAAACAAAGCACAAGTGCGGATACCTACTACTCCAACGTTCCCAATTCAACTAGGCTCTTCACAGCAGGCTTCGATCATTTTCTTGTCGTAATCCCGGGGCCCTGCCTGGGGTACCACCGTTTCGATACTGCCAGAGACGACTGAAATCTTTAACACGCCAGGCCTGGGTACCATTCGACTGTCGACTTTCTGACGAGTTTGAAATCTCGATGTTTGGTATTGGCAGCAGGGTCATCTCTCGGTTTTCATCTCGCTTGTTTAACAACTTATCCGATTCGCTCCATGTCATATCAACTTCCATATCCATGAATTCATTCGACTCGAGTACTTTATGATCCGGTCCGAGAGTAAACATATTATCAAGATAGTGTTGGTTCATCATGTGGCCGGACCCAGGACGAATAAATAGCCGACCTAGGTATCGATTTGGGACATTGGTGAAATGAAGAACACCAAGGTGGGAGACTGCATCCTGTGAGTTTGCGTAGTGTTCGATATGCCCGATCGACCGGACAATAGGCTGACAGGTGGAGGATTGGCGGGGATTGTTGAAGTGGTTTGCGGCATTCCCGAACGTGTAAACCTCTAGTTTATGAAGTAGATCCTGCGGGAGTTCGTCAAGTAGCCAATCGATTACCAAGCTGCCTTCTATTCCGCCCTGACTGTGGAGAATCATGACCACTTTGTCGCAGTTTGGGTTCAATAACTCCCTTTTCAGTAAGTAGTAGGCACTTCGTATATCGCCTGTGGCGTAGGAGAAGCAACGCTGGATCAAACATTCGATCAAATCGAATATTAAGCCAGCACTGAATATTTGAGATCAATAATTAGCTGGAATGTCAAGTTCGTTCGTACTGTTAGGTGACATACGTGCGATTATGAATGCCTGTGATCTTGCGGCCGAAGGAATAGGCTAGTTGATCGATATTGTTCTGGAGCCAGTATTGACTAGTGTTGTTAGATGGTTGTCAGTTCGAAGAGTCCGTCGCCTTTGGACTTACCTGTTCGCAACGCCATTAATAAAGAACCAACACTCTCCTTCATGGCCTTGTTGCTTGGGCTCCGGAACATTGGAAACCAAGATCCTCTCAAATCCGTTCAAGACGAACATGCATACTGCATAATTAAGTGCCAAAGCGATCGCAATATAGACAAATATCCAGAAGGCAGGCAGTTGGAATATAACCATCAATGGGATTGAGACCAAGAAAGCAATTTGGGCGATAGTCAAAACCACCTGTACCAAGAAAGAGATCAAACTTCCAAATGACAGGTATAATTCATCCAAAGGAGTCGTGTGTCCGAGCCGAAGAGGCAACAAAATCCCAGGCAAAGCCCATGAATATCGTAGTAATAGCAGGATATCGCGAAAGAATAGCAGCAATGGGGACGCGGTGTACGGCAGCGGGGTGGAACTAGGGTCTCGTCTGAAAAGGCGAATCAGAGACATCACGGAGTTGACACTTACCAGGAGACGGCTGTGTAACGACGATGTCCCTGGAGATGAGTTATCTTTCTGCAACTATCCGTAGAGGTGATGATGCGATCGGATTGAATGTTGTCGCTAAAGGTTCAAATCTGCAGGGAAGCAGCACCTGCCACTGTCATGTGATAAAATAGCGTTGGGATTCACACGACCTTTGAATGTGACCAAAAGTTCAAACATTGAAGAAACCTGGATGAAAAATATCACTGATAGGATGTCAATACCACAGATTAATTCCATAGAATGCGAGCCAGGTGAAATAGCATATCCAAATAAAGTCTGGCAGCACTGTCCACCGTAAGCAGAAATAACCTCGGCTGCCAGTTTGAAGCCTTGGCCACGTAAATCTAATATAGTACTAGATTTAGTAAACAATCTAGATATGACCTTAAGTAGCCATGTCTGACATTTGAGCCCGATCAATCATATTCAAATTTCGGTCGGGATTTGCAAAAGACGAACCTAGTAGAATGTCCTTGTCGCACAAAACTTACTAATGTAGGCTTGGTAAAAAAAAAGCAAAGATAGATGCGAATGTCTCGTCACGTCAAGGGTATTTGATATACAGTAAGTATTCTTAAATTCATGATATCTCGTGAGTATCCAACCTCAAATTCCGGTCCCTTACATATAAAGCCAATCAATCCTTCCTGTCCATGTATGGCAAACAAGCCTCATAAACGTCCTTGAAACCGGGATACTGTGTAATCCTATGGAACATATCCTCATGCACCGTCTTTGCAGACTGAAGCGACCCCGCAATAAAGAAATCAGCGTAGCTAGGCTTTGCTCCAAGGATAAATGGCCCGTCAGCCATGTTCGTCTTCATCAGCTCGCTAATTCCGCTTATGCTGTCGCCCAGGGCCCCCCAGATCTGTTCCTCCTTCTCCGGGTCAAGGAGGTCCTCCAGCTTGTGGCCAAGTGTGGCTTCGCGAGTACGTCGGTAGTATCCCTGCGCGCGTGGAGATAGGATCTGTATTTCGCGCGGCATCACGGATATATAGAATAATTTTCCCACCACAGATCGTGATTTAGCCTCGATTTCTTGGCCCAGGTCTGATGCCAGTGGAACGTGAGGGTCTGGGTAGGTCTTTTCGATGAACTGCGAGATTGGGATGGAGTCCATGATCGTGGTATTAGTTGGTAGGTGCTGGATAGCAGGGACGGTGTATTTCGTTCCCGATTCCGGTACGATGCCACTATAGATTAAAGTCAGAGATATGACTTATTTGCCCTAGGGTGACTCCAAAAACAGGAGTCCAATGTTACTTGGAAGGTATGACTAAGTATGCCATATTGACTCACTGTTCTTTTAGAGTCGGCTCGATATCTGGGAACTCGAGGAAGACCGTTCGATAAGGAATGCGCTTGTAGTTGAGCATTAGGCGGATACGCCAAACAACTGGTGAGAAGCAGAGGCCCTTGGTAGATGCCAAGTCATAGAGGATAATCTCAGCCTCGTTTGGAGTGGTCATGTTGAGCTAGCAAAGCGTTCAGTAGATCGAACTTGGAGAGGATGCTTTGATCACACGTGGTAAATTATCGATAAAGTTTGGAAGTATGAAAGCTTGCTTTCGGGAGGCTGACAGTCTTCCGGGGGATCTGCTTTTAAGTTGAGTTGGAGTGGGAAGGAAAGTTAGTTGGCGGTTACGTAAAGTTTAGCTGCTATTTTAAGAATACGACCTGCCAGCCTAAATGCTACTAGTTTATAGATACGAATTTTGAAGAACAAATGTCTGGTATTTGATGCTACCTAGCAGGAATGGATTTGTCTATCCAAACCATGACGGTCGATCTTAACACCATGCATCTCTATATTTCCAACCACATTTGACAAAGTCGAGACCAGTGTTTCCAAGAAAAAACCAAGGTAGATCTAGATGCAAAGGCTCGGATATACTGAAAGGTTATGAGCGAAATGCCGAAAGCTTCCTTGGTGGCCTTGTAGAATTGGTAGAGCGAGTCATAGAGGTATACCATGGTGATCAATTCCAGCCGTATGACACCCAGTATTACAATGACTGTATCTAGAAAGATGAGTATGATATCGTATGGGACTAGTGCTAACCGTGGTAAATCCGTAAGATCCTCGTAAAGCTCTGACATGTCGATCATGAGGTCGGCGACAGATTCTACAATCGGATTGAACAGGGGCGTTGCCATCTTCATCATCGCTGGGTTCATGACATAGTCCGCAAGAAGGTCTAGCAAAGCTGTCAGTATTGTGCTAAAGGCCATAAAGAGGGAGCTTGCGAGGATTCCGAGGCATATAATGCTGAGGATAGGGTACGTCGCGGATATGCACAGCTGCGAGTCTGACTTCATAGCTGCGAGTGGAATATCGCGTGGCCAAAGACAACGAGTTCTTTCAAAGGGTGCTGGACGAAGATGGGGGACATAGCAAGATAAATAATTTTGCGTGTGCCTTGAATTCGAGGAACGAGAAGTTCATTGTGAGAGATAACAAAGGGCGAATAATGGCTGATAACTGGTGAATACTCCCATTTTTAGTCGCGGAATAGACAATATGGTACCGGCTTTCTGTTCATCAAAGAACAAAGGCTTTCTCGAATCCGTCTTTGGTATGAAACATAGCCAACAATGACTTGAAACCGACACTTCAAAGGCATCACGTGTGTCTTATTGTGGCATATTTGAGTCGGGAATAGCCGTGGATACAATGAAATGTGATTACCTTTGAGGAGCCAAGTATAGATCTTCAAAGCAAAGTTTCACATCCATGAATATCATATAAAAGCTCGGATTTGTCCTATTTCTGCCAATCCCCAACGTTCTAGAATAGAACCGAAAAGATTACGCATTACGAAATCAAATAATTCAAGATTATCAGATCATTCCCGAGCACACTCACTGAATTTCAGCTGTTATGATTCAAAATGAGAGCAATACCGATATTCGCGGTCTCAAACGATTCACCATGCCCTCCAGCCTCCGCCGTACAACAAAAGCCGAATCACACCCGCGGTCAGTCAACATGTTGGACCGAAGCGAACTCAAGATGCTAACGCAGATCCTGCATCTAGACAACACGGACCTGATGAAGATAGCGTTTAGACCGCAAATCGAGAGACTGATCCAGAATCTACCAAAACGTCTCCGCCGGCCCAGACCTCTATCGCTTAGTTTCAAACAGCTTCCTAGCACATTTTGTGATTTGCATCTGCCTCTCAACGCGGATTTGATCTCTCATATATTTCTGTTCGTGCAAATAGAGGTCACGCAGCACTTTATTCTATTTGAGAAATTCCCTGAACTTTGTCATCCTGTGGAAGAGGAGATTTTGATCCGTCTGCGCGCGTTGCGAGGCATGTGGATTAAACCCGGCCAGGAACCTCGGATCTTCATCCCCAATGGGTGGAGCTACCAGATTGATGGCTGTCGGGCTTGCATGCTGGCGCGTGTTGCGTCAGATATGGAGGCAGTGCGCAACTTGCGCGTGGTGATTCTAAGTCGGACTCGGACGCGACGAAAACACCGGGCGCGTACGCTCATGGGGTTTGTTAATGAGTGTATTAATCAGTTCACTGGTGATCAGATGCAGGAGATCTATACGGCGTCGAGTGAACTGGCATTTGGAATGAAGGCTGCTCGTAAAGCTTGCACGAGAGCTGAGTTCCAAAGACGCGGGTATGGAAACCGTCGTGGTTCTAAGACCCGGCATCACGGGGGCCCGAGTGAGAAGGAAGAATTGGATCAGAGTCACCAGGGGATTTTGTTCCCTAGAATGGCTTCTTTGTTGCAAATTCCCGAGCATGGGGCTGCCCCGACGCCATCTGCCAGTTGTGATTCTCAGTATAGTATGGCAAAGGAGAAGGAAGGCACCTCGCCAAAGAATAATAATGCCGAAAATGCGAAAATTGGACCCGATGCAGTTGATGAGCTTATGGAAATGTACAGGAATATGGGGAAAAAGAAGCCCTTCTCTCGCGACACACTTGTTCGGTCAGCCATGGTTGCACCCCTCAACATTGGGGCGAAGAATGACAAGACTATCAACGAGCTTGCTCAATTGAACGATCAATACGATCGGCTAAGCTTGATGCCGAACAGACCTCCACATCGTGTTCCAGGGCCAGGTGCTACTAGTAATAGATCTAGCAGGGATGTACCTGTGATATACCAGCCCTCACCCTCGGATTATTCCAGGACAGATTATCACGTGGATTCTAGCAGTGACTGGATGGATGATGATTGTACGGATTCGGACGGAAATGAGACCGAGGATTCAAACTCTGGGTTTCAGGAGAAGTCAGAGACATGGACCACTTGGGATCTGATGGTTGGCCATCATAACATGATTTGATTTGCTTCAAGTTTGATCGGAGTTGGTTAGAGGGTGTTGTACGATATTGCTTCTTAGAGAACCTGTGTGGACACATATGCAATGCAATTAAATTGAATTGGATGACTTGAGTCAATCTGTAAAACAATAGACATTATGAACAATGAGTCGCCGGGAGGTCGTAGAGAAAAACCATGTACAAAAGGACTGTGGCACATTCTCGTGGTATTAATACAGGTAGGATGCAAGACCCCATATACATGAAAGCGAAAGCCAAACCCACAGCCTCGGAAAAAAAGAAAGATGACCAGCAGCTCCGAGAAACGCCAAATGAGACAATGCAATAGACCAGACGGCCCCTATTTCAAATTCATCGCGGCTTTAATTGTGCAGAACGCTGCCCGGAACACCATGGCTTGGGCCCTTGAGACTGTCGACGGTTTTGCGGCGCAAACGAGTGCGTGTGGCTGGTCCTTCGGAAGAGACCACCGCGGGCTGAGGCTCGATGGTGGGCGTCGTCACTGCATTGGCGGCAGCTTCGGCCGCCTGGGCCGTCTCCATGTCCACCTGCTTCTGTGCGTTGTCCCGAGCCCGCTCGTAGCGGAGCTTCACCTCGCCCTTCCATTGGGTATTCAGCAGTCGGTCCCAGAAAATGAAGAAGGGCTGAGAGAAATTGGTCTTGATGCCCCAGCTTTGGTGATGAATATCGTGGTAGGCAGCGTTGTTGGAGGTGAAGTGTTGTAGGGGATCCCAGGGGAAGGCGTAGCCGCAGTGATCGTCAACGGTCTTGATGGTCGAGCAGGTGAAGAACCACATCGCCTGGCGGTTGGTCATGCCGGTGACCAGGAAGGCAATACCCGTACCGGCGGTATCTAGGAGGAAGCCCTCCACGGGGTGGTTGTATAAGGCGCCGAAGGCGTAAGGGACGTACAGACGGTGATGGCGGGAATGGAAGGTTACTGTAGACTGGGTTAGTGGGTGATCTTTCTTACACAAAGCAAAGAGGGAAAAGAGGGCGAGGTACTCACCATATAGCCAGCGGTTGAGGTGCATTGCGCGATGGAGGAAGTATTGCCAGGTATCGACGATGGAGATAGCGATGAGGAACTGCAGACCTGGAACGAAGTACCAGTAGATAAATGAGGCCAGAGTCAACTCCCAGCCAGCAAAGGCGGGGGCAGTGATCTCAGCTCCGTTTTCCAAGACCATTGACTGCACCATGGTGGGATAAGAACCTCCGGCTAGGGGCGCCGGCTAAGATGGAGTGACCGTTCTGCGAGACCGACTTGGCCAGACCGGTGGCGTCGACACCGAGGACGGTCAAGATGGTGGGAATTGCTCGCTGAGCGATGCGGACGCGTTGAGCCCAGGTCGCCACATTATAGTCGTCCAAGCCGGTCATCTCGGGGGGATCAAAATACGCGACTGACCAACCCGCGATGGTTTGAATAATTTGTTGTAGGATCACATCACGGACAACCTCCCAGCGGCTGACTCGGTTCCTCTTTGACAACTCGGCCGGGGTGTGTAGACGGTATTGTTCAAAGTAGTTATTGACATCGAGGTAGTGGTAGATGCCCGACAATACCCAATAGGCAACAATCGGTAGAAGGAGGGCGACAACGTTATCGGGAATGGGCGGAAAGACCGGCTGTCGCTCTGTGAGGGTGTAACTTGGGAGTGGAGGGAGGTCAAACGCGACCGAAGCGTTGGCAGCCATGATGGAGACAAAATGGGGCGAGAGAAAGCCTGGAGGAGGCAAAGTCGTGGGGGTTGTTGTTGTTGTTGGGTGAGATTGGGAGGGGGAAGTGGAAGGTGGATGGTGGATGGTTGCGATAGGCAAATTAATCCCAGGAGGATCCGCGATCGTGGCAGACCAAGTTAGTAGGAGACTAAATGCAAAAGGATTGAAATGGGACAGAAAAGTCCCCAGGTGTAATAGGAGGTGAAGCTGGAGTGATGAAGGAGTGACGATAAGAATAGCAAAAACAAGAAATAAGCAGAGGAGAAAGAAGAAAGAAAGAAAAAGATCGAAAGATGCCCCCGAACAAAAAGACAAAAGGAGGCGACGGAGTGGCGCCAGTTCGGATGCAGTGGTGTGACAGATGGGTTACGGTAAGATTGCGCTGTTTTCAGTGTTGGGGCGGGAGTGGGAACTTACAGATGGTAAGTTACGGTATCAGTTTGTATGCGGAGGGTCACGGCCGGATTGGCATCCGAACTATACAGGGGGAATTATACAGGAAAAAAGGTATGGAATTATGGAATTATAGTAGTATATACTAGCGTGGGTGTGGTTTAGTGCATTACTTCCGTTTCTCACATATTGAAGGGTTCAAGGACTCAAGGTTGACTGATCATCAGGAGATATGTGCTATGTACATCTGCGTGTACATACTTACTAGTTAACTAACTAGTACATGACATGATGATCAACCCACCGGGCACTGGTTAGTTAGTTACAAGTAGATAGTACGATGGGGCTGGGAGAATATCTGTAGAGCACAAAACTGGTAGTAAATAATATTCAAATATAGTTAGAGGTAGCAAATGAGTTAGCACAACTAGCAGATTCCAAGGTTAGTATGGATACTATCACTCACTCTATCACGGACAATCCCCAATGTCGAATCGCAGGTCGCTCAAGGTTTTCTGCGGCAAATGTGCCATCACAGTAACACGCTCAACCCGCTTCACACCCTGTCCCCACGTCCCGAGAATCAATCGTGCCACGAATCTGCCAAGCTCGGTCCCCAGAATGAGCTTGAACTGATCGGATTCAACCTCATACGATGTGATTGCCCGAGGCCGGAACATCCTTTTAATAACTTGATTTTCGATAATCCGGCGGGCCTCGCTGTTAACAACGTCACAGAAGAAGATATGCTTCAAAGTGTCAATCGGGTACGACGTCTCATAGATAGCCTTGGTCATGTCAGTAAGACGGGGATCACCAGCCTGCCGATTCCTGATAACAAGGTCCATGAAGACAACCCCGGGTCCAATATGGCCACACCATTCCGTCCAAGTGACTAAATTAGTAATCCAGACATACCGGTACTGAGACTGAGAATGCTCAATCCCAGAGTCGGACTCGATGGGCAGGCCCAGCGTCCGGATCATCTCCTCATGTTCGGATTGCAAGCGCTTGGGCCTATACTCAGATGACCAGGCCGGGCCGTCGAGAGAAGCTAGTGTAAATGTAATAGGAGGAACAGTGCATCCTGGGGCATTGGACTCATTCATATAGTTGTGGAACCTCTCTCCAAACTCTTTGACCTCGGCCATCGTGTACTGGTTGTTCTTCGAGTCGATAGACATGATGTTGGTATAGATGATACTATAATATAAGCTGTATAGTAGTAGTAGTAGTAGTAGTAGTAGCTGTGTAACGGTCTCTACATGCCTTCAAATGAAGGCCAAGGGGCTGCTGTGGGACGAAGATCGAATAGACAGGCCTACTCGACTAGTTTATATAGATGAGATGGGCACTTCGAGCTGCAAGTCAGATAAAAGACTTACAGCCATTTCATTGTTTACCTACTGAACAATGGAGAGATCTCAATGACAAGAACTCGGATCAATTTAAACAAGGAGCCAATCAAGTTTGGACCTTTCATGCCATCCCCGAAGAATGGTATTGTTGGATGGACTCGAAGCCATGATATACGGATTTTCGAGGACATGTTGTCAAATGATGAATAAATAGCAATAGAATGAGTTGAATGCAAAAATACTAGTAGTGGTAATATGTAGTTTTTGGTGGACTTCCTTCCATCCATCTCATGTCCCCACATGCCATGCTCCGAGTCTGCCCGTCCTTGCAGATATCTCAAATTGGCTGTAAGTTTCATTTGGGGTTTTATGACACCGAGCATAGTTAATAGTACAGTGTACTGTGCTAATTTTACCGGCATAGTTTATCATTGAAAACAAAGAATTAAGAGCAAGTTGTGATAACCGGCTATTTTGAGCCCGGAGATCAACGCGATAGGAGGAGATGTGGGCCGAGATTGCCAGTGCCACTGCGGGGCGAGTCCTACAGTATGTACGGAGTACGGAGTACCTACATACTCATTCTACCAGGAAGCACTGTGATGAGGACTCAGACCCGGTGAATCTATTGAATGAATATTTGAAATATATTTCCACAGAGGTAGATATCGGAGACTTCAAGAGTATGTTAACATATAAGTATACAATGTATACTTTCATATACTTCGAGTATATGTTGAGTATACTTCTGATACAGGAAATCCCGTGATCCCGTGCAAACAAGGCAAACTCCCCCACTGCGCCGCCACTAAAAAAAAAACTTCATTTCCCCTCCTTTTTTCTTTTGTTTTCCTTTCCCCTCCTCATCCATTCACTTTTTGTCTTCTGTCAAATATACCCTCATCCCGCCACCATGATTATCTTCAAGGTATGTGAATTCAAACCCAGAGATTCTCCCACCTGTCCACCCAATTTGATTTGAGAACTAACCGCTGACATTCACAGGACATTATTTCCGGAGATGAGCTCTGCTCCTCCACCTTCGAGATTGCCCCCGCTAAGGACTGCCCTATTCTTCTCGAGACCGACTGCCGCAAGTACCTTAAGCGCAAGAACGAGGACTTCGCTCTCGAGGGTGCCAACCCTTCCGCTGAGGATGCCGAGGAGGAGGGTGGTGAGGGCGAGTCCACCATGGTCCACGACATTGAGGACCAGTTCCGTCTCGTGTGGCTGAAGGAGGAGGATGGTCTTAAGCCCTCCAAGAAGGACTTCACTTCTCACCTGAAGTCCTACGTCAAGAAGATCCTCAAGAAGCTTGAGGAGGAGAAGGCCTCCGCCGAGACCATCGCTGAGTTCAAGGCCGGTGCCGCTGGCGCTCTCAAGAAGATCTCTGGCAACTATGACAACTACGATGTCATGATGGGCGAGTCCATGGACGGTGATGCCATGTATGTTGATAAACCACATTCCCTAGTATTGATTATCCCGCTGACATTTCCCTCGCAGGCACGTCCTGATTGACTTCCGTGAGGACGGTGTTACCCCCTTCGCTACCCTCTGGAAGCACGGTCTCAAGGAGACCAAGGTCTAAGCCAAGCAATTAGCCTTGTCTCGTCCTATCTTGTCTTAGCGGGCGGATTTGCAAAATAAAAAAGCACTTGACATGAAGAATGAAGAGTACATGAAGAAATGCGAGCTCTTTCTCCATCATATGCCTAGATCGGATGCAGACGCGGGGACGAGTTGCTTATCATCCCCTCTCCTCGCGCCGGGCCTTTTGTCTGTTCTGGCTTTCACCGTCCCATCTTCGTATCCTAATTGACCGATCCCTCTGATCGTCGAGTTACGCCTCATGAATCGATAAACTGTTACGTCTCCCTCTTAATCAGCTTTCTTCCCAATATTGTATTAGTAGTAGTAGTTCCAGTCGTAGTCGCACAGTAGATCTACTACAATCAATCTTGAGAGGGTAGTTTCAAATGTATTCTATTAGATAAATTATTTTCATGGGGTATCGATAATATCAACAATATCCAGTCCAATCGCTAGACAAATTACCCCGATTGACACCTTTGTCTGTCCATGGAGGTGTGGTATTCTGATCCACAGTCTGTGGTACCACTGGTAATCCATTAAAGGCGATTGGCGCGCCTGGGCTAGCATTTGCGGACGGGATTCCAATATGAGCAAAGTCTAGCCCGGCAACGGGATCCAGTTCCATCAGTTCATCTGAGACGGGGAGGTGTTGTCCAAAGACAGCGTCCCATTGGTCCCAGTCGAAATTGAGATTCGGGTCCACCATTGAGGGCGGGGTCGACATGTGCATTGGTGCAGGGTTTGGAGATTGGGGATCCATGTAGAGCATTCTCGGAGACATTTCCGTGCTTGGAAAATGCGGTTGCTGGTGTTGTTGGGATTGTTGGGGTTGTGGTACGGGGATTGTGGGTTGTGCAGTGGGGGATAGATTGGACGATGGCGAACGCAGAGCAGACGCGACCTCCGGTGATGTTGCTGCAATAGGGGATGTTACGCTTGCTGCAGGCGTAGTATTGTATTGTGGGATTGTGGCTGAAGTAGCGGACTGGTTCGTGGAGGATGGCTGGAGAGAATATCGAAGAAGACTGGGTCTGCGAGCCGTCGAGGATGCCACAGGGGTTGGGAGGTTATGAGTGCGGGTCATGTTGTAAAAGGTCCGATTGAAGTCCATGAGCTGGCGATCTGGCGGAGGTGGTAGCTTTTGACCTGCAGCAGAAGCAGCCGGCGATGATGGGGTTGAATATAGTTGCCCTCGCAGGGCATTGAGCTCTGGAGCTGGCGATGCGATGCCCGCCTGGATTTGATCTTGTTCGGTCCAGAGCATCTGGGGATTGAGGCCAGCTTTCTGCCATGCCTTTTGACGGAGACGGCGGATCATATCCCATGCCTCACGACCACCATCCTTCAGAGGTCTTTGCGTAGATACACCATCCTCACCGCCGACCACGCCTCCGTCTGGCCCAGAGAGGGCTAGGATGCGATCGATAAAGGCCCGTGATCTAAATGCCTCGGGGCTATATGGACGCTCGTAAAGGTCGATGAGCATGATCCTACTGAACGTTAGATGTATTTAAACAAAATTGGACTTGCAAATAACTTACATCGTCGCGTGCATCGGTTGATGATTACTTTGAATGGTTAGTTAAGCTTTTCATTTGAACGATTCGACGAATTACTTACCCTGGCCAG